TTAACCCTTTGCTGGTTGCATGAGAGAAAAAGTCTCTTAGAGTTGTTCCTTGGGCGGTGGGCTTTTTTGGACCCTAACATTAGCTCGTAGGCCAAAGGAAGCCACCATTGGGTTTGGATCAGGGCTTCGATGTAGTTAGCTTTGTATCCTACTCATATTTCTGTTTGGGGTTTGGTTGTTCTTCCAGGCCCAAGCAAGTGAGGAATGGTAGGTACATAGTTCTTGAGTGGAAAGTTATTTGCACTGTTTTGGAGCAGATGGAGGAACTTGCTGGCACTATTGTCTTGGGAGTAGATGAGAGATTCAGCAGAATCATTCCTGTAATACTGTACCTGGGAGACATTTGTCCTGTTTAATCAGATCACTGCGAAGAAAGTTGCTCATAACTCAGTGTGTTGTTAAGGAACGAGTTCATATTTAGAATCAGAAATATTGGGGCCAGCGCTATAGCACAGTGGGTTAAAGCCCTGGCCTGTAGCGCCAGCATCCCATATGGGCTCCAGTTCAAGTCCTGGCTGCTCCACTTCCGATCTAGCTCCCTGCTATGGCCTGGGAAAGCTGTAGAAGATGGCCCAAGTCATCCCGCATGGGAGACCCTGAAAAAGCTCCTGGCTCCTGGTTTCAGATCATCTCAGCACTGGTTGTTGTGGCCATTTGGGAAGTGGACCAGCAGTTGGAAGACCTCTCTCTCTCTCTGCCTCTGCTTCTCTGTAACTCTGCCTTTCAAATAAATAACTAAATAAATTAAAAAAAAAAAATCAGAATATCAGCTCTACCATTCTTCCCTGAATAACCTTGAAGAAATCTCTTTACCTCTCAGCTTCGTTTCCTCAGCTATAAAAATATATGAGATGATGTACACTTTCCAAGTTTGCTATGAGGATCAAATGAGATAACATATGTGCAAATACATTCTAGGCTTTAAAATATGATCCAAGTTTTTATTTGAAAAAGAAGCACTGTGACACATTGTATTGTTTTCCAGACCTCAGACAGCTTCATACCATCCCCACAGACTTTACCTCTCTTACTAGACCTGTACTGTTATTTACCTTGTTCAATAAATCAAAGGGAATCAGTGAGTGGAAAATCGAGTAAATGTATAATTAAGAGTTTATTGGGGTGGGTTCTGTGATGTAACAGATTAAGCCACTGCTTAGGGCCCCCAGCCCTAATCCATGCCTGGATTTAAGGCTTGCCTTCACTTTCAGTCCAACTTTCTGCCAGTATGTACCCTGATAGGCAGCAGAGGATGGTTTGAGTACTTAGATCCCTGTGACCCATGTGGCTTGGGGCTTTGGCCTTTGGCCTGGCTCCGCCCCAGCTCTTGTGGGCATTGGGGGGTGAACCAGCAGATGGAAGAGCTTTCTCTCTCTCTCTCTTGCTCTTTCTCTCTCTCTCGGTATCATTGTGCCTTTAAAATAAGTAATTGAACTTTCAAAAAAGAGTTCAAACTAAAAAAAAAAAAACAGTTTATGCACCATCTAAAAGTATCTTACATTTCCTCAATGGGATGTATACACACTGTGCGACGTACTAGTAGTAGAAAGAAGGCTGGATTCTAACCCTGATTCTGCTGTTTAGATTCTTTTGCCATATGCAAAACAGGTCATTTTTCTGCGCCTTAGCTTCATCTATTCAATGAGGAGTGATGTTGATACTCTCCTTATGAATTGTTTTACCAAGACAATAGGACCTAAAGCCTGGTAAATGTCTATTGTATATGAGTTTCTTTATTCTGGTTAGAGTTGAGAGAGAATATGGGTTTTTTAATTTCAGAGCAAGAAATTGGCAAGATATAAGTCTTTAAGATATGTGGTCCTTTATACAAAATAGTAAAGCGTGTAAAGTTCTTCCTCACTTACAGGACAGTGAGAGTCGAGGTACCAGCTGGAATGTATCCAGTATCAATTCAGTATCATATCTGCCAATGACAGGTCTGTGTTCTGTACCTGTGAGATGTCAGAATTGAATGCAGAAGTGTCTGAACACTCTCATTCACCCTGGAACATCATAGGAAGGATTTTAAGGATTTTTAAAACTTAAAATTAGGTTGAAAGAGCGCTCCCAGAAAACCACCAGCATGTATTTAACTCTTTAATACAGGCTGTGTGTGTTTCTCACTCCAGATTCACAGCAATGTGTTAGAAAGCAGGCCATGTCACCTCCATTTTACAGATGAAGATATTAATGTTCTTTATATGCCAAGCCCCATGCATATTGTTTTAGCTATTCTATGTTATATGACAGGACAAACCATATGACAAGTAACAGTATTCCCTCTTTACTTTTCAGTAAACTGAGCTTCAAAGAGGTGAAGAAACTTGATTGTAATCACACAGACCTAGCAGAAATAGGCTTTGGACCCAGCCTTTCTAATCCTGCAGTGTGTAATCTTTTGAGGATACCAAGAATGGTATCTATATCTATTTTAAGGAATATGAACTTCTGTCAGCCTTTCAGCCACTACAGAAACAGTGATATGTGTGGAGCCCTCACCTTTGGAGGCAACCAGGCCTGCCCAAAGGACTTCCTAGATTCCGGTTTTTGGTTTTGTCTTCTTTACAGTGGGTATATTATAGAAAAATTGCCATCAGATAGTACTATTAGCTTATGCTCTATGGTTAACATTACCCCCATTGTAAAAAAAAAAAAAAAATTACCCCCACAAGCTGTCCTCCACAATAGCCATCACAAAAACTTCTTCAAAAATTCCAACATAGTATCACCGTCCATTCCTTCATGGCCCCCTCTTGGCTCCTCAGCTGAAGTCCACACTCTTTTTTTTTTTTTTTTTTAAGATTGATTTATTTATTTTAAAGTCAGAGTTACACAGAGAGAGGAGAGACAGAGAAGTCTTCCATCTACTGATTTACTCCCCAGTTGGCTGCAATGGCCAAAGCTGCGCCAATCCAAAGCCAGGAACTAGGAGCTTCCTCCAGGTCTTCCCACACGGGTTCATGGGCCCAAGGACTTCGACCATCTTCCACTGCTTTCCCAGGCCATAGCAGAGAGCTGGATTGGAAGTGGAGCAGCTGGGACTTGAACCAGTGCCCATATGGGATGCTAGCACTGCAGGCAGCAGCTTTACCTGCTACACCACAGCACCAGCCCCGAAGTCTACACTCTTAGCCTGGCATTCAAGGCTTTTTGTGATCTGGGCCCCAGTTGGTCTCTCCAGCTTCATCTCTTGACATTGATCCATTGGAAGTTCCCAGGAAGAATGGTTCATTCTTACTTTAAACTTGAGACTTCTCTGTACATTGTTCACTCCAGATAGGAGTACATTTTCTTCTCTTTTAAAGGTTTATTTATTATGTATTTGAAAGGCAGAGTTAGAGCCAGAGTGATTGTCCATCTGCTGGTTTGCTCCCCAAATGGCCACAATGGCTGGGGCTGGGGCTGGGCCAGGCCAGACCAAAGCCAATAGCCAGGAGCTTCCTCCAGGTCTCCCATTTGGATGTGGAAGCCCAAGCGCCTGAGCCACCTTCCACTGCTTTCCCAGACACATAAGCAGGGAGCTGGATTTGAAGCCAGGACTCAAACCAGAGCCCCTATGGGATACTGGCATTGCAGGTGGCAGCTTAACCCACTACATCACAAAACCAGCTCCTGGAGTACTTTTTCTTGCCTGCCTAAATCCTTTTAATTATCTGTTAAGACTTAGTTCACAGGACTGGCGCTGTGGCATAGCGGGTAAAGCTGCCACCTGCAGTGCCGGCATCCCATATGGGCACCGGTTTAAATCCCGGCTGCTCTACTTCTGATTCAGCTCCCTGCTATAGCCTAGGAAAGCAGTAGAAGATGGCCCAAATCCTTGGGCCCCTGCACCATGTAGGAGGCCTGGAAGAAGCTCTTGACTCCTGGCTTTGAATCAGCTCTGCTCTGACCATTGTGACCATTTAGGGAGTGAACCAGCAGATGGAAGACCTCTGTTTCTGCTTCTGCCTCTGCGTCTATAACTCTGCCTTTCAAATAAATAAATAAATCTTTAAAAAAGAAAAAAAAAAGACTCAGTTCTCTTTTCTAGAAAGCTTTTCCTGACATCAAAGTCTACTTTAAATGGAAATCAGGAGCCCCTCCTCCTGTACCTTCATATTAAATGCTTCATAAGCAGAGATTATAATAATGTTAGTCGTTGATATTCTTAGTGAGTCTAGTACTATTTTAAGGATGCTTTTTTATGGTTAGAAAATGCTAAGTAAGCCCTCAGTTGCAAAGAACCCCACTGACTGCTTTTGCAGGGAGGAGCCAGTAAAGTCAGAAGTCTGATTAATAGGGGCTGGCATTGTGATATAGTGGGTAAAGCTGCCGCCTGCAACACCAGTGTCCTATTTGGTCACTGGCTCTTGTCCTGCTCTACTTCCAATCTAACTCCCTGCTAATGTGCCTGGGAAAGCAGCGGAAGATGGCCCAAGTGCTTGGCCCCTGCCACCCATGTGGGAGACTGGGATGAAACTCCTATCTCCTGGCTTCAGCCTGGCCCTGCCCCAGCCGTGGGGCCATTTGGAGAGAACCAGCAGATGGAAAATCTTTCTTTTTGTCCTTTTCTCTCTATAATTCTGCATTTCAAATAAATAAATCTTTTAAAAAAATTTAAAAACCTAATTAATTAAAAAAAGCAAAACTGAAAACCTGTTTTCCTGATCTTACAAATTAGACTTAAACTTATGATAGGAATAAACATTATTTTTTAAATGTAAATATTCTGTCTATCCCTTCCCTAGAATTTACCAAAGCCTTTAGCTGCATCATCCTGATGGGATATTTGTAGCTGTATTGAATGTGTGTAGTAAGTACCCAGAACTTTGGAGCTAAGAAGTATCTGCTGCCTACGGAGTAGCCTGCAGTTATAGAAAATGTGCTTTGAGCCTAGAACAACCTGTGTTTTAATCTAGGTTTTACCAATTACTTAAGGCTTTGGGCCAAATAGATTCTCTTTTTGTGCTTAGATTTCTATGAGTATGCTTCTGACTGTCTTGACTGATGTTTCCTTCCAGCTATCAGAGAAGATGGCATGCCTGGAGGCCGGAATAAGAGCATTGGGCCAGTCCAGGTGAGTTCTAGGCCTCACTCTGTGGTTCGTCCTGGAAGCATAGGACACCAGATGCTCCTCCTGTAGCTGCGTACATTGATCTGTTTTGTCTGCTGCTGCAGGGACCCATTTTTGCTTTCATTCCTGTAAAACTGTTTCAGAGCCTGGATGTGAAAGTGCTTAGAAAATTGTAAAGGTGTAAGAGTATGCATAAAGCTCTTCTTGTGATCCCTCATGCCTTCCTAAGAACTTCCTAGACAGTGAACTGATTCTGATTCTGAACCATCTGGGCAACTCTTTTTGTCAACCACCTAAGGTTAAGATAATTTAGACTGCTCCTTGTTTCATCTAAAGATGTGTTAACAGACTGCTCATTGCCATATTTATAAGAGTAGGAATGATAATACCCTGTTTAACCCCACAAACATTTATTAAATTCCTACTCTGCAGGCTCTATATTGTGGACCCAGTGTAGTACAAGAGTCAGGCATCAAAGCACAGTGAGAAATAATAGAGGATGCCCAGGGAGCAGAAGGGAGGGACTAGAGCCATAGTTTGGGGCAGGGGACCCTCAGGGAAGGTTTCCTGGAGAAGGTGAAGTTTGAACTGAGTTCTGAAGGAGGAAGAGGAATTAACTGTGTTGGGAAGTTGTGGAAGGCATCTTTTATTCTTGCTAGATATGATAGACTGAAAAGAATCAAGGTTGAATTTCTTAATTTTTTTAAGAGGGGTCAGTGCTTTGGCGCAGCAGGCTGAAGCCCTGGCCTGCATCACTGGCATCCCACATGGGCACCAGTTCAGGTCCCAGCTGCTCCACGTCTGATCCAGCTCCCTGCTAATGCTTCTAGGAAAGCAGTGGAAGGAGGGCCAAGTCTTTGGGCCCCTGTACCAATGTGGGAGACCTAGAGGAAGCTCCTGGCTCCTGGCTGTGGATCAGCTCAGCTCTGGCTGTTGCAGCCATTTGGAGAACGAACCAGCAGACGGAAGACCTCTTTCTTTCTCTGTCTCTACCTCTCTCTGTATCTCTGTCTTTCAAATAAATAAAACATTTTAAAAGAATATTAAAAATTTATTTATTTGAAAGTCAGAGTTAGAGCCAGGACTGGGCCAGGCCAAAGCCAGAAGCTAGGATCCAGGAGCTTCACTTGGATCTCCTCATGGGTACAGGGGGCCAAATAGTTGAGCCATCTTCTGCTGCTTTCCCAGGTCATTAGCAAGGAGCTGGATCAGAAGTAGAGCCACTGGGACACGAACTGATGCCACTAAGGGATGCCAGCATCACAGGTGGCAGCTTTACCCACTGTGCCACAACACCAGCCACCAGTGATGACTTTTTGAGGAATGACAAAGAGTTTGTTCAGTCAGGCTGGAACATTGGGTACATGGAGTAAAGTGGTGTGAACTGGACAGATTTCTTGAATTTGGAGTCAGTCCTCTAAAGGATAGACTTCAAATTTTTTTTATCTGTAAGGAAAGCCGTTAGGAGGCCAGCCTCTTCCCCTTGTTCTTATTTGCCAGCAAATGAACTCCACGAGGATGGAGAATTGGATAAATATATGACCCACCCATCAAATGAACCCACACACTAGTGGGCAAGGAGCCTGACTTAAGGGTTATTGAGGGGGCCAGTGCTGTGGTGTAGCAGGTTAAGCTGCTGTCTGAAGTGCCTGCATCCTGTACGGACACTGGTTCGAGTCCTGGCTGCTCCAGTTCCAGTCCAGCTCCCTGCTAATGTTTGTGATGCCCTGGCCTAGGCCAGGCTGAAATGAGGAACAGGGAACTCAATCCAAGTGTCCCACATGGCTACAGCATTCCAGCCATTTCAGCCATTACCACTGCTTGCCAGGGTCTGTATTAGCAAGAAACTAGAGTCAGTAGCTGGAGCTGGGAAACCAACCCAGGTGCTCCAGTGTGGGAAACAGGTGTCTTAACTGCTAGACTAAATGCTCACCCTAACAGGTGGTCAAGTGTCCGGTACAGTGTTAACTGTGGGTACACTGTTAGCAGATCTCTAGAACATAGGCATCTTGCATGCCTGAAACCCACTCCTCACTCTCCATCCCCACCCCCACCCCGGCAATCACCATTCTCCTTTCTTCATTGAGTTTGACTACTTTAGATATTTTATAAAGTGATCTCTTGCAATATTTACCCTTCTGTAACTAGCTTATGTCATTTAGCGTAAGATCCTCAAGGTTCATTCATGTTGGAACAGCAAGGATAATTCAGAAACTTGGTTTTGTGTATGGTTTAAAATGAGGGTAAAGCTTCTTCTTCTTCTTCTTCTTCTTTTTTTTTTTTTTTGGCTGGAGTAGGGGGTGGCCATGAGGATATAGTTTTCCCAGCATTGTTTGTCAGAGATACTGCACTGTACCCATTGTGAAGCTTGGCACATTTGTCATTACGTGTGGGTTTATTTCTGACTTGCTCTTCTGTTCCGTTGGTCTGTATGACATTACCCCAGTACCACCTTGTCTTGGATACTGTGGCTTTGTTACATTGTGAAGTCTCTGAGACAAAGTGGAAGGCCTCCAGCTTTATTGTCCTTTCTCTGTGTTGTGCTGGAATCCTTTGAATTTTAGGATGATCTCTATTTCTGCAAAAATTGCCATCGAATTTGGTAGGAGTTTTATTGAATCTGTAGATTGCTGTGGGCAGTAAGTACATTTTAACAATATTGTCTTCCAATCCTTGAACATGAGATGCCTTCCATTAGTTTGTCTTCTTTATTTCTTTCAGCAATGCCTTGTAGTTTTCCATATGTTCATCTTTCTCAGTTAAGTTCATTTCTAAGTATTCTCTCCTTTGTGATGTTATTATGAGTAAGACTCTTAATTTCCTCTCTGAATTGTTCATTGGTAGCGTGTAAGTATAAAATTGCAGCAGATTTTTGTGTGTTGATTTTATATGCTGCAACTTTGCTGAATTCATTTATTAATTCTAACTAATAATTTAAAACTTCTGGAATCTTTAGGGTTTTCTCTATATAATATCAAGTCATCTGCAGTCATGTGATTTTACTTCTTCCTTTCCAACTTGAATGCCTTTTATTTCTTTTTCTTGCCTGTTTGCTCTACTAGGTCTTCCTATAGTGTGTTGAATAGAAGTGGCAAGAGTGGGAGTCCTTCTCTTGTTCCTGACTTTAGAGGAAAAGCTTTCGGTTTTTCACCTTTGAATATAACAGCTACAGGCTCTTCATCTATGACTTTTATTTGTGTTCATTTCTTTTATATTTAAATGCAGGCGAAAATGTATCCATTGGGAGGAATGTTTATCTATTGGGATAAAGTGTTACCCATTCTTAGTGATATCTGTTGTTTTTTGCATACTGCATGTGACTCTGTTATACAGGGGATCTTCAGTTTCTTACGTCTCCAGAACTGAAGATGCCAATATTCAGAAAAGCCCATTACACTTGTTTCTTGCATTTGAGTTTTTTATATAAGGCATATCATACTAGTCTACTGTTTATAGTGGTATGTTAAGCAGAGAGAGCTGTGATCTACAAGTCCATAATTGAGTTCAGTTATTTTTAATAATAAAATACAAGAAGGGATAGCATTTCTGTTTATTGAGCACCTATTGTGCACCTACACTTTATAACTTTAGCTTCAATTAACCTCCTCAGTCTGTCCAAGTCAAACTTTGCTTCAGCACGTAAGAGAACCATGAACTACAAAGGAGCTGATATTAGCTCTACTTTACAAATAAGGAGACTTTACAAATAAGTGGTTTGTCCAACAGGAACCAGCTAGGAAATGACAAGCAAAATTTGAACCCATATTGAAGCACTCCCATCCCAACATGTCCCATTCCCTCTTTAATTCATCAGTGATTGCCTGGTGTCCCATGGAATCACAGGGGGAGACAGTTGCAATACAATTTTGGCTTGGAGCTGAAGTAATCTAACTTCGTCAAGACTGACCCTTTTACACAGCCCAGGTATTTCCATCTGCTCAGGGTTCCTGGTCTTGTTCTCACAAATACAACTAAGGCTGCTTTTGTCAGGACCTCAGTAGGTGACTTAAGAGTTTGTCTTCACATGTCTTGCGAAATGCAAACAATGATGTCAGAGTGCTAAGGACCACCACCCCAAAGATTTTTTGTTTTTACTTTACATGCCTTGAGTTTAAAAGAAAACCTCTATTTTATTATTTTTTAAAAGATATATTTTGTTTATTTGAAATTGAGTTATAGATGGGGGGAGAGGGAGAGAGAGAAAGAGAAAGAAAGAGATCTTCCATCCATGGGTTTTCTCCCCAAATGGCCACAATGGAAATGCCAGGAGCTTCTTCTGGGTCTCCCATGTGGGTTAGGGGGCCCAAGCACTTGGGCCTTCTTCCTCTGTTTTCCCAGGCCAGTAGCAGGGAGTAGGATTGGAAGTGGAACAGCTACAGCTGGGACTCAAACTGGCACCCATATGGGATGTTGGAGCTACAGGTGGAGGCTTAACCCACCACACCACAGTGCCAGCCCCCTCCACTTTATTTTTAAATTTCTATTTATTTGAGAAGCAGGAAGAAATAAAGAGCTCCCATCTACTGGTTCACTCCCCAAATGCCCACAATGCTCAGTACCGGGTCAGGCCAAAGCCAGCAACTGAATCCAGGTCTCCCATGTGAATGGAAGAACCCATCTACTTAGCCATCACTGCTGCTTCCCAGAGGCATTAGCAGGAAGCTGGATTCTGGACCTGGAAGCGGTTATTGAACCTAATATGGGATGAGAGTGTCTTACTTAGCATTTTACTACTAGCCTACACACCTGCCCCCAAATGTCCAGTTTAACATTTAATCCAAGATATTCTAGACCAGCTAGTTGAATGTTTCTTGTTTTCCCTCCAAGTCCTGTGTACTAGATGGCTTCCAGTTCTTTCTGAAGGCACTTGTGTTTATGATCAAGGAAGTTCGAAATTGCCTCACAGACTGCTGAAGCAAGAGAAGAATACAGGTTTGAGTGAGGCAGACTTGGGAGAAAATGTCTCCCAGGTTTCTGTAGGAAAAGCAAATAAAAACTCATCCAGCCCCTCCTTTTTAGCACTCTGTGTTTTGAGTTTAGCCTGTTAGGCTTTACCTGGGAAGTGAGATGCTTTGTAGAAGTAGTTTATTCATGTATGTAGCTAGAGTACTAGACTGAATACTTAGATACTTTGTCTCTTCCTTAAACTCCACCCTGAACGTGGGAATACAGTGTAATCTTGGGCAAGTCAATTTATTCTTTTGTTTAATAGGCCCGGGAATGCTTTTACTAAAAAAAAAAAAAAAAAAAAATCCACGTGATGGTCCATGATCAGTACTTCATAAATGAACATTTGTTTATTCATTCAGTATGTGTTTAACTAGGTACTTAGTTTCTAGGTCCTATCACGTAAGTTTTATAGAGAATATTTTTAGTGCTATAAAAAACAAGAACAATCTGGGGCCAACATTGTGGTATGGTGGGTTAAGCCACCCCTTCCTATGCCAGCATCACACATCAGAGTGCCAGTTTACATCCTGTCTACCCTGCTGCCAATCCAGCTTACTGCTGTTGCCCCTGGGAAGTTAGCTGAAGATGGTTAAGTACTTAGGCCTTTGCCACCATTGTGGGAGACCTGGATGAAGTTTTCCATCCTACTTTTGGCCTAGCCCAGACCTGGAGTGAACTAACCATTTGAGGAGTAAACTAGCAGATCGAAGATCTCTTACGTTGTCTCTCTCTCTCTCTCTCTCTCTCTCTCTCTAGTTACTCTGCATTTCAAGTAAATAAATATTTTTTAAAAAGCAATGATGATGATGATGGTGGTGGTGTCATTATTAGCTTTTCCATAATTGTTGCTATGTGCCAGGCCTTTTTCTAAACATGTTGTACGTATTAGCTAACCATCTTAAGAATCCTGTGAAGTAGGCCGGTGCTGCAGCTCACTAGGCTAATCCTCTGCCTGCGGTGCCGGCACCCCAGGTTCTAGTCTTGGTTGGGGCGCCAGATTCTGTCCTGGTTGCTCCTCTTCTAGTCCAGCTCTCTGCTGTGGCCCGGGAAGGCAGTGGAGGATGGCCCAAGTGCTTGGGCCCTGCACCCACATGGGAGACCAGGAGGAAGCACCTGACTCCTGGCTTCAGATCAGATCGGTGCAGCGCCAGCCATGGCGGCCATTTGGGGGATGAACCAATGGAATGAAGACTTTTCTCTCTGTTTCTCTCTCTCTAACTCTGCCTGTCCTCCCCCCCCCCAAAAAAAAAAAAAAAAAAAAGAATCCTGTAAAGTAGAGACTATTGTTCTCTGTACCATACAGATAAAGGGAGTTAGGTTCAAATAGTTGGGTGACTTGCCCCAGATTGTACAACTAGAAGTGACGGAACCTAGGTTTGAACAAAGGTAGTCTGGCTCGAGAATTCCCTCGATAATGATGCTGTCCCAGAATTCACGGATGGAAGAAGGAACTAAAACAGCCTAGAAAGCTTCATATAGGAGGAGACATCTGAATTGGGTCTTAAAAGGTCAAGTAGGATATTATCACTGAGGAATAGTGTTTCCAGGGTAAGAAAGAATAGGCTCACGGACAAAGAAGACTGCTGAAGAACCCAGAGGCCTTGTGGCTTGAGAGTAGGGTAAGTAGGCAAGAGGAAGGCCATGGGGGGCCACAGTGTTAGGAGGCAAGCAGCCAGGCTGTCCTAAGATTAGTGAGAGACCTGGAATATTATGGTGGAGGAGAGGGAGTACAGATTTTTGTCTAGAGTGTCCTGGGAATCCCCGGTAGACTTAAATAAGCTCTCTGCCTGAAGAAGGAACAGAGTATGTCCTGAGTACCCAATCTAACATGTACCAATTCCTTATCGAAGATATCAGAAGAAGAGATTGAAAGGATCATGTCTGGGCAGGAATTTGAGGAAGAGGCCAATCACTGGAGCAACCATGGTGACAGTGATCACAGTTCCCCTGGAAACAGGGCTTCAGAGAGCAACCAGCCTTCACCAGGTTCCACACTGTCCTCCAGGTGAGCTTGAAGGCAAACCCAGGATTATCATCTAGGGACCACCCAGAATAGGCCTGTCAGGAACCTCTGGCTGAATATTCCTCCCAGTCTGTCTCAAACGTTGTACTATTGCTCCCTCAAGTTCTTTGGGGGAGGGGTCACTGTTTCCCAACCATTGCATGCTAAAGACCTTGAAAGAGTTGGTTGTTAGGTGTGAAATAGGGCTATCACCTACCAGGGAAGGCTTTCTTTCCCCAGAAACCTTTCTTATAGGACAGGAGTCGATAAACTTTCTGTGAAGGCCAGTTAATATTTTAGACTTTGCATGACTTATGGTCTGAGTCTCAACTCCTGGCTTTATCTTGAAAACCATAAACAATATATAAAGCAATGAGTGTGGCTGCATTCCAGTAAAACTGCATTGACCAAAACAGGCAGCAGCTTGCCACCCCTGGTTATAGGAGTACATCTAGGTCAAAAGGAGAGTATCTTTTGCTGTTCTTATTAATAGAATGATTAGATTTCTCCAAGAAAGGGGAGAAATGTAAGAATCTGCCTTTCTCTTCATGTTTAATTATAGCTTATCCAATTCAGCTGTTCCTTAGTTTGTTCTGTCCTTTGAATATTTAGGGTCTTATTGTCATGTACTAGATTCCTTGCTAGGTGCTAGGTTTGTTTTGTAGCCTGGCAAAGTACTTAGCCTGTGTGTGCCTTAATTTTTCTAGCAATAAAATAATACAAACACCCCTCTTGTCATCATAATCTATAAGTAGCCATTAAAAATTCTCTGCATGTGGCACCTGTAAAGAGAATTCATTCAGCCACTGTTGACTCAGTACTACTCTGTTGGGCACTGGGTGTGCAATGGTGAGCGCCATCTTCACACACCTGCATATAGAGTCCTTGTCTCACAGATGGGCATCTATTAGGGGAGATATCCATGTAGCTATTGTTTACATTCTCTGGCTTGATAAAGATGCAGATTTCTGGCCAAAGAATGCCTAAGCCAGCTTCTGGCTCATTTACTCACAGTATACCTGCCATGGCTCTGCTTGACATGAGACTTTTCTTTCCAGTAGGTCTGTGGAACTAAATGGATTCATGGCATTCAGGGAGCAGTATGTGGGGATGTCCGTTCCTCCACATTATCAGTACATACCGCACCTTTTTACCTATTCTGGGCATTCGCCACTTCTGCCCCCACAAGCTCGAAGCCTCGATCCCCAGTCGTACAGTCTGATTCACCAGCTGGTATCAGCTGAGGACCTGGAACCACTGGGCACGCCCATGTTGATCGAAGATGGGTGAGTGAACTCTGCCCTGCTTGGCCCTTTGTAGCCTCAAAATGTTCCTACCACACACTTAGCTACATCCCTGGCTGCTGTCCCCTAGGCTTTGAATGAGTCAGAGGATAACATGTGGTGACTCGAGCATCAGAGGGCAAGTCTATGCTATGTGTGAAATCAGTGGACCCACGGTCTTTCCTTAAGTTCCTTTCTTTCACATAGTGGGGGTTACCTTTCAGCTATTGTTTCTACATAAGCCTAGGTAAGCCAGGCTTTGGCTTGGGTCTCAGTGCTTCTGTGTCAGAGATGATCTGTAATTCTGGGAATAATCATACATCAAGTCTAGGCTCCTTAACAAGATACCAAAGGCCCCAGCTTGTGACCTGACTGCATCTTTAGCCAACACACCATAGCCATAGGTGGCCTGATGATATGTAGCCACCTTGGGTGTGACACCTGAGTGGGTGCAGGGGATACTCTTTAAGTCTCAGTTCGCCCTAGCTGGGTAGGTAGTAGTTTAGCCTTTAGGCCCACCCATTGCTATGCCCATTACTCCTTTGGCCTGGAGCTTAGGTTGTTTATAAAGCTTAGACCTCCCAAAAGGTATCCTGAGATTCTTATGCTAGTCTCCAACTTCAGAAGAGGAGACTAAGATATCCACCTACAAGAAGGTCACACAGTGCCTTTACAAATCCAGATAGTGTGGGGGCCTTGATATGAAGAAAGCTGACACCTCTGAGGCTGTGGCCTTAGGGATACTCTTTAACCCAGAGTTCAGACATGCCCTTCTGCTTGGATCATGTAAGAGTGTAAGGGAAAGGCTGAGCAACTCTGCTTTCTGAACTCTCACCACCAGGGGGTGCAGTGAGAGCAGAAAAAGCCTTTGAACCCCTTCTAGTCTCAGCCATCTGGCCACGAGGCTCATTTTTATGCCAGTTTCTGTAGCACAGAGGCAGGGTATGTTTGGTCCATGGACATATTGGGTCTGTCCAAAATTCAGTAAATCTATACCAGGCTAACTTTTTTAAGTTAAGAATTTTGTATGACCTGCAAATTATTTTATAAATATCCAAATGACTCTTGGAAGAAAAAAGGTTCTCCAGACTTGCATAATGGGTAGGCACCCCAATCCACCCCACTGGGGTTCTTATTTCAGGAGTGATTGGGAATATTCTATAAGACCTGGAACATTAGAGGGCACAAATATTAAAGATCCAGATAATCACACCAATTTCTTCTAAGCCATCTTCCCCTCAGCAACCCTTCTCATCAAACGCACCTCTCCAGCCCTTGCCTATTGGCTCAGTACTGCCCCTTTATCAGAAAATTAAGTTGAATGGCACTGGAGATCCATCAAGCACAAGGAACCCACTGCCAGGGACCCTTTGTGCCCTTAGGAGTTCTCTCTTTGTGCCCCCATCCTCACCCTCTTGCCAGTGGAAATGACTTTCCCCTATTCCTACCCCGCCAGATATGCTGTGACTCAAGCAGAGCTGTTTGCCCTGCTTTGCCGCCTGGCCGACGAGCTGCTCTTTCGGCAGATTGCCTGGATCAAGAAACTGCCTTTCTTCTGCGAGCTCTCAATCAAGGATTACACGTGCCTCTTGAGCTCGACGTGGCAAGAATTAATCCTGCTATCCTCTCTCACCGTTTACAGCAAGCAGATCTTTGGGGAGCTGGCTGATGTCACTGCCAAGTACTCACCCTCTGATGAAGAACTACACAGGTGAGGGCTGCTGGCTGGGCAGGAAATCCTAAGCAATCAAACCGTTGTCATCCCTGCAGAGTAGGGTTGCCTGGTCCTCCAAATGATGGGCAGTAAACCATGTAGACCTGGGTTTGAATCCTCCCTCTACCACTGACTAGCTTTGTGACCTTGGCCTAGTTTCTGATCCTCGGGTAATGAATTTATAAAATAAGTTGATGACAGTACCTCCCCAGCAAGGTGGAGGTACAAATGAATGTTGTACAGTGAAGTTTGGCAGAGTGCTAAGCAGTTGGTTTTCATTACATCTGAATTACTGAATTACCTTGCCTACAAGGTGAGAAGGGCTGAGGTCTAGGTATCATGTGGTACCTATTATGGACCAGGCACCGAGCTCGATATTTTATCTTTCTCTCAGCCCTCCAGCATTAGAGGTATCATGCCTGTTTTGTATATAAGAAAACTGAAGTTCACAAAGACCTGCCTTGAGGGCTTTGGATTGGAACCTGGAGCTTTGATTTTGAGCTTAACAATTGCCTGAGTGAGTCTCCTGCTTTCTCACTGCGTCTGAGGTTCAGTGTGATGCTGAGGTCATGCACTAGGAGCCTGGGCTGTCCTCCCCGCTGTTTCTGGCATAAAGGCTCATCCCCATTGGCCCGCATCCTTCTAACTTTCCTGCCCATGTTGCTTTTACTCACTCACTTTGGAGACCTAGGGTACATAGTAACTATGTGTTCTGGCCCCCACAGCAGGATAGATGTTGAGACAACCTTTGGCTTATTAATATATCTCTATGAAAAGGTCTCACAAAGTTAAACTGACACTTAAATAGACATTTCAGTAGATCAGGTTTATTGGAAAATTAAAATGATGGAAGTCAAGAGATTCCAGGGCACCAAAAAGAAGGGGAAAAGGAGGTATTCCCACTGATGAAAGGTGAAGAGACTGAAGTGCCAGCCCCCACACTTCCCTTCCCGGGGCTGGGGTGCAGCTCTTATCCCAACCATGGCATAAAGACAAGCCCATGCTCAAGCCAGAACAAAAGACTTCCAAGGACCCTCTACACAGCTGAGGAAGGGAGGAGTTGGTGCTGATTCCCTACCCTGGTTTTCCAATATTTCCTTATTAATGGTGCTTATTGTCTTCAGGGGTGATCTATAAATGACAGATTTTTGAACCCAGCTGACACTTTGTCCTGTAAACAAAGTTAACTGATTTTGCAGATGACCTAACCTCTTGTCCAGAGCCTTTAATTCATTGTTTCCATCAAATTCCTGCCTCCTGCTCCATAACTCTGGGACAAGGGGTGTTTGGATAGCAGTCAGCCTGCTCTGTATGTTGTCAGGGTTTGCAGAGCTGACCCAGAGACCCTAACCTCCCTCTTTGCCTGTTATCTGCCAGTTCCGCCTAGGGCTGCCTACGGAGTCAGCCTTAGGCTCCACACCCTACAGAATGACCGCTTTTCCTGGGCCCTCTACAAGTAGGCAGGGATTGCTGACTGTGCAGGGTTCCCTTGAGAGCTATGAGCTCCATGAGGTACCCTGTCCTTCTGAGCTCATCCTTAGAGCTCCAGCAGCTGAATTAATGAGGAGCCTTTTACTTCCTAGGAAGGCTCTTTACCAAGGAGGCTTTAAAGCTACATTGTCCAGAATAGTAGCCACTAGTTCAAGGTGGCCTTTCCAATTCTTTCTTTGCACTGATACTTTTCAAGTGCTCAGTAGCTTCCTGTGACTAGCGGTTTTTACATTGGAGAGTGCAAAAACAGTGCATTTCCATCATCACAGAAAGTTCTGTTGTGCATCGCTGACTCCAAAACATGTCACTGCTGAGCTCTCAGGTAGGTTCTGAGGACAAGAAACGGATTCACGGTCAGGACTCTCACTCTACTATGGGTTCCATCGGTGGAAAAAATAAGTTAAACTTCGGCCTTAGTTCTGGCTCCATTGCCATTTACTGAACAGCATTGTGTGTGTTTCATGGAGAGATGCTGGGATCGCAGATGATACAGATATGGTCTGACTCGGAGAGTCTCTGTTCCTGGTTTAGGTACTTGGGAGTCAAATAGAAGCAGATACAGTCCGTAGTGCAGGGTTTTCCATGGCTGGAAGTTGAAAGGCATATGCAGGACTGTACAAACAGAGACGACGGAGTGTGTGCCTTTACTTTCAGGGTCAGGGAACGCGTGCCAGGGGAACAGACATTTGAGCTGCACCTTAAAGTAGAAATTTTTTTTTAAAAAAATAATTTATTTGAAAGGCAAAGGCAGAGAGAGAGAGAGAGAGAGATTGGTCTTCCATCCACTGGTTCACTCTCCAAATAGCCACAACAGCCAGAGCTGGGCTGATCTGAAGCCAGGAGCCAGGAGCTTCTTCCAGGCTTCCCACACTGGCCCCTCAGATACATTCTCTTTTTACCCTAACCCTCAGGACTTCTTTTGGTTTCCTGCACAGAGCAACCACCCACGATCTCCAACTTCTGCAACTTTGTGTTATTCTCATGCCTTACTCTACAATACAGTTTTAAAAAATCCCACTTCAGGAGGCTGGCACTGGAAGTGACAGCTGGTTTGTTGGACTAGCCAGAGTGATGGCATCAATTCTGTTGGCCAAGATGAAGGGGCCTGGGAGGAGCAGGATGGGAGATGAGTTGCTCCGAGTCTGGTGTAGGTGTCTGTGGAGTTGGAGTTGCACGTGGAACCAGGGGGTCATAGGAAGTGGAAGTGTGAGAACCTCTGGAGTCAGGTTAATCACTGTGAAGCAGTCTCCGCTCTGCTGGAAACACAGGCTGTGCAGTCTGTAATTGGCCATAGCTCTTCCCTGCCTTGGCTGCTGCTGCGTTACTCCCACTCCCCCAGACTCCTTTACTTTTTCACAACTCTTGAGTGCAAGTGGGTTCCTGCTGTCATGAAAAGGCTTTTCCCACATGATACATGGCCACCTCCTTTTCTTTTCTCAAATATTGAATCAAATTTATGGTGCCCATATTCTGTAATCAGACTGTTATCAGACAGTGAGCCTGGTGCATTTGATTTAAAGCAGATTGTAGCACCAGCCGGTGACTGCTCCTGGCCCTAATCAGGACTCCTTCACTCTCAGGAGAAGATGCCTCGAGCTGCGTGGGCTTTAATGGGCACTTGCATCCCGGGAGCACTAACTCCGTTTCTGCCAGCTCTCTAGGAAGTCGCCTCCCAGTTTCCCTGCCTACACCCTAGCTGAAAGGCTCAGGAAACACAACTCTTTCTGCTGCAATCATGAGAGGAATGAGGATGATGCTATTGATAATGATAGTTAGTAATTGGAAGCCTGTTTATTGTGCCAAATACCATTTTGGTGCATTACATATGGCATTTGTTGAGTCTTCACTGCTACCCTATGAACCTGGCACTGATGCTTTCCCTCTTCTAGAGATGAGGAGCGGAAGGTTCAGACAACTCAGGCTGCAAAGTCATCAAGAGCCAGAGTTAAAATCTTATCATGGAGGTCCGCCCGGCACCACTGCGCAGGCTTACCTTATACTAAGTTCTTTTTTTTTTTTTTTTTTTTTTTTTGACAGGCAGAGTGGACAGTGAGAGAGAGAGACAGAGAGAAAGGTCTTCCTTTGCCGTTGGTTTACCCTCCAATGGCCGCCGTGGCCGGCGCGCTGCGGCCGGCGCACCGCGCTGATCCGATGGCAGGAGCCAGGAGCCAGGTGCTTTTCCTGGTCTCCCATGGGGTGCAGGGCCCAAGCACCTGGGCCATCCTCCACTGCACTCCCTGGCCACAGCAGAGGGCTGGCCTGGAAGAGGGGCAACCGGGACAGAATCCGGCGCCCCGACCGGGACTAGAACCCGGTGTGCCGGCGCCGCTAGGCAGAGGATTAGCCTAGTGAGCCGCGGCGCCGGCTTATACTAAGTTCTTATTCTTCCAGAGCTTTCTCAGAAGATTTGACTTCCTGGAATTTGTCCTGGAGCTTCAGTCTGGCTTTTCATCTCAGTGTCTATGCGAGGGTGCTGAGGTGGCGGTTACTCTAAGGTTGTGGCTGATGACCACTCCTGGGAGTTGGTGCCTACAGATGAATGAAAAAGAAACAACTAGGCCTCTTAGCCCCCTTAATGGGACATAACTTATGTAATGTCAGTTTCAATTGCTGACTGAATGGTTCAGTGATTTGGGGGATCCTGGCAGGAATGTTTTCCTTGTCCTCGCATGCTTGTGTAAAGGGAACCTGGAAGAAGAATGGGTGTGTTTGTCCAGCTTTCTGGCTTTGAATGCTGATAATTTGTAGACAGGGAATACAGGGGCGTCAGAACTGTGGAGTGGGCAGATGTGGAGGAGGCACGGCTACAGGAGAAAGCAGGCCCATAGAACAGAGAACAACTTTGTTTATCAAGGGGGTGTGATGCGGGGTGTGGAGGAAGGCTTTGTAGTCAGGCTGTGGAGACTAGTAGGGGCTGCTGGGCTGGCTGCCAGACCCCACCACTGCCAGGGATCCATGATGGTTGCCTGTTGTTGGAAATCTGGAAAAGAGGGACGTGCTGATCTCTGTCTCTCCCTCTCTATATATATAACTCTGACTTTCAAATAAATCTTAAAAAAAAAAAAAAAAAAAAGCCGACGACGAGGAGGAAGGATGTGCTGACCCCAAGAGGAAAGGCAGATCTGGGGCGAATGCTCAGGCAGGGCACTTCAGCAGTCCTTTGTGTCCCTCAGGTCAAGACTCAGGCAGGGGCAAGTCTGGCCCTGCCGGCCAGGCGTCTGGCTGAGAGCCACACACCTGCATGTTCTGCAGTGCCAGAGTGAGCTCTCGGAGCAAGAGGTTGCTGATTAAGGGACAGAGCATTATCTTTGCTTGTTACAGCACTCGGCCACCAGACAGAAGCTGCCTCTGCTTCTCCCCTTGCGTCCTCCTTGTTTATTCTTACCCCACCTCAGACACACCCCCCACCTCTCCAGGCAGATACTGAAGGGAACTGGCAGTAAAGACCTTGTTTTTCTCTGAAGAACACATTTAGCCATGCTGAGGAGTGGTCTTCACTCCCAAGCCCACTGCCCACTCTGCATGCAGAGGCACTGTGAAGGCAGTTCTGAGTGCTGCAGCAAACCCAGCTATGCCTTACCTTGGACTGAGCTGGTGTGGGAGCATGGAGCCCCTGAAGGGGATAGGATGGGGTAGCCTTTCCCAGGTAGCAGTTGTGAACAAGACAGGATCAGGGAGAGGACAGTGCAGTGTGAGAAAAGCCCACAATATCCTTGACATGAGAACCCTTGCTCTACCACCACTTACTACTATGTGGCTTTGGGGAAATCACCTCTTCTCTGCTTCCTCATCCGTAACCTGGAGGTGATAGTCTTTATCACACAGATGATCAAGAGGGTAAAAATGTGAGAATGTATATGACAGGGGCACAATAGATATTAACCTTTCTGAGAGAACTTTGTTTCTCACATGAACAGAGGGGGTTATTTTTAAGATCTGTTTTGTGGATTTATTGGGAGTAGCCAGTGAGATACTACATGTGAAATACTTAAAATTCCTATAAGCTAACAAACGCTCAAGAGAATGGTAGAATAGTAGACAGAGTTACTACTCAGTATGAATTTGTCTGTCAGCTGGCCTGGAAGGTTATCCGTAAAGTTGGAAAAGCCTTTGAAGCACATGCAGAGGAAAGCAGTCAGCGTCATGGCTCCGAGCATAGTTAAGACATCATTAAGACGTCCGTGTCCCGTGTCAGAGTGCTGGGGTTGAGTCCCTGGCTTAAGCCCCTGACTCCATTTTCCTGCTAATGCAGACCCTGGGAGGCAACAGTGATGGCTCAAATAATTGAGAGACCTGGATTGAGTTCTTGGCTCCTGGCTTCAGCATGGCCCAACCCTTGTTGTTGTGGGCATTTGGGAAGTGAATCAGGGAATGGGAGTTCTCTGTCTCTCTGCCTTGCAAATAAACTTTAAGAATGAATGAATGAATGAATGAATGAGGTAACTGAGAGAAACCCTAGCTCCAGCTGACTGGGAGCCACATCAGGAGGCGGAGGGTTCAGAGTTCCAGGTTGCAGATGCAGCTCCCCCTGGTGCTTGAGAAGTGCAGGTGCCTCTGACTTCAACCAGAGCCAGGAAAGAGGAAATTGTCCTGCTTGCCTGGGAAGCCAAAGCTAAGCAAAGCCTTCAAAGTTAACTCTTTGAGCAACAGAACCTAGAAGGCAATAGTGCAGCTCCCAGTGTTCAGGACTCTCCCAAGACAGGCTCTTCTTGGGCTGGTATGGATCTACAATGCCCAGATCTGAACATAGTCCCACCAGAGAGCAGCCGTAAGGTTAACCATCTACTCTTTATAACTGAGCTTCATCTGAGGTCTCTATTGGAACTCTCCCTTGGCCCACTACCTAGCCCACCCGTAGAATGACTCAGGACAGGTCTTATCGCAGCATTTGTATTTATAAATGCTTGCTTCTCCTCTTAAGTATTCACCTCTATCTTTGGTATGAAGCATACTGAGAGCGTTAGTTCCCTGGAGTAGCCTAGCCTGGTGCTCCATTACTGGAAACGTGGTCTTTCCCCAAGGAGCTCAGTCCAACTCATGGCCAGCTTTAAGCCCCCTGGTGGGGCTGCCACCTTGAGAGAACCAAGGCCCCAGAGAATTGGCCCAGGTTCCAGTTCTAAGCTTGCTACCAAATAGCCATGTGCCAGAGAACCACTTCTTTCTCTTCTTTGAATCTCAGTTTCTCATCTCTACGATGGTAATGACTATCTTACAGCACTCATAGAGTTGAGAGAATAATAAGATAACGCACATAAAGTATCCAGCACAGAGATGGCATGGAGTGAGGGTTGCGTTAATGTTTCCCTCCCTCTGTAGCTGAAGTCAGGGGTGCCGATAGAAATGTTCACTGTGCACAACCTCAGCTCTGCTGGAAGCGGCGAACCTGAACAAATGCAGTCAGCAGCTTTCTCTGCATTGTTGCAGAGTCACCATGGCAGCTGCCATTGATACTGGAGGCTGCATCTCAACAATAGCTGTATCTTAATAACCTCATATTCCTCCACATTTACACCTCAGACCTCCTTAGGACCTCAGTAGCCAAGCAGGCAAGCATTATTATTTTTACAGAGGAGGACCCAAAATGTTAAATAGGATCAAATGACCTTCCCAAAGTCTCACACCTCATGTGTAACAGGTCCAGGTTTAAAGAGGTTTGATTGGTAGGACCTTGGGAAACACCTCTTACAAGAGCTATGTCAGCCTCTAGACAAACCAGGGGTCTGCCTGTCTTTCACAGATGGCTTTGGATTCCACTTCCTCCTCGCTCTTTCCTTCATGGTGCCTGTGGATCTGCCTTGTCTTGGCCTCCACTGGCATCAGGGCCCATTGTTAACATCTTGGTCTGTTCTCAGATTTAGTGATGAAGGAATGGAGGTGATTGAGCGGCTCATCTACCTGTATCACAAGTTCCATCAGCTAAAGGTCAGCAATGAGGAGTACGCTTGCATGAAAGCAATTAACTTCCTCAATCAAGGTGAGTCGCAGCGGGTGGGCAAAGGGGACCTTGTTTTCTTTGCTATCCAGCATTTTCCCTCCTGTTAGTCTGACACACAGTGTGGTTACCAATCTTGGGAGGCCTACGCTCCTCCTTCGCTTGTCCTCACCCTGCCCCTTTATAGTGCAGGGAGTGCTTTGGATTTTTTTTCTTCAAACCTAAATGCCACAATCTCTATAACTCATAGAGGAAGGAAGAGGATTCGCTTTGTTTAGTCAGTTTTAATGCATTTAAATACAGAAACCAAGGACAGTACATGCGTCATTTAAAATATGTACCAAGTTTACCAGTGACTGAAGAAAAGCAGGGTGACTGATGAAACCATTGGAGATAAGGCCTCTGTGACAGGCTGGCAGTAGTTCTGACAGCCACTTTAGAGAAAGAAGAGTGGCTGTGTACAAAAACTCACACTCACCCAGGCATATCGAGATGGCTTTTAATTAGAAGAGAACCAGATGTGGAGTATTTCCTGCAAAGTGGCACTTGGTAGCTGCTGCTAACCAGCAAATCCAGGAGAATGTGTATTCCCTTTTTTCCAGAGTAGCACATGAATGCTCTCCTTCCAGAGTAGAGCTGGGCTGTTTGCTGCCTGAGGCACTAAAAGTGTGTGCGTTCTTCCTGGGACTACTTCCCCAGTCCAGAGACTCTTGACCCCTCCTCTTTACCTACTCTTCCCAAACGCTGGTCAGGCTCTGTGTTCAGCATTAAAGAAATTGGGAAAAAAAAAATAGATCCCAGGTCTAATTTCTGGTCTTAAGAAGTGTATACTCTGATAGCACTAGACACAGTAATTGTACTTCAGATTGGAGAGATCAGTAGCAACTTGTTGGAGAAGGAGAAATCTGAGCTAGGCCTCAAAGGCTGGGTAAGATTTACATATAGAATAGGTTTACATTCTCTATATAAAAATGTATAGATAGAAATCTGCACAGAAAAAAATGGAAGGGCAGTGCAGAGCTGAGGCATATAAGAGATTGTGTGTGCGTTACAGTCAGGAACGTGTGAGCATCATCAGGGAGTCTGACTGGCTCTGATAAAGGGAAAAGTCAAAGATGTTGTAAAGGCTGAATCTGAATCTGGAAAGGTCGGTTAGTCAGCCATTTGCTCAACCCTCACAGGTGTCTTTTTTTTTTTTTTTTAAGATTTATTATTTTTTTTTTGACAGGCAGAGTGGACAGTGAGAGAGAGAGACAGAGAGAAAGGTCTTCCTCCGCCGTTGGTTCACCCTCCAATGGCCGCCGCAGCTGGCGTGCTGTGGCCGGCGTACCGCGCTGATCCGATGGCAGGAGCCAGGTACTTCTCCTGGTCTCCCATGGGGTGCAGGGCCCAAGCACTTGGGTCATCCTCCACTGCACTCCCTGGCCACAGCAGAGAGCTGGCCTGGAAGAGGGGCAACCGGGACAGAATCCGGCACCCCGACCGGGACTAGAACCCAGTGTGCTGGTGCCGCAGGCAGAGGATTAGCCTATTGAGCTACGGCAGCACTGGCTGGTGTCTGTTTTATGCCAAGGTCATGCTGCAATCTGGTATAAAGTTGAGGAAGTCACAACCTGGCCCTCAAGGGACTCTGTGCAGTGATTGGCCCTTACGTTATTTTGTCATTCTCTGTGTGATTTCTCTTCCTTAACCCAGAACTTACTTCCTCCGTATAGAAAAGAGAAAATATCTTCTGTGGGGAGAATATTTAATAACTTTTAATTGAAAGGTGCACATATACAAGGAGCTGGTGTTTTTCCACATTAGAAAGCCCCTTCCATTCCCTGTGTGGCTTTTTTTTTTTTTTACAGATATCAGGGGTCTAACCAGTGCCTCACAGCTGGAGCAGTTGAACAAACGATACTGGTACATTTGCCAGGATTTCACTGAATATAAATATACACATCAGCCGAACCGTTTTCCTGACCTCATGATGTGCTTACCTGAGATTCGCTATATTGCAGGTAATATTCTGGGTCCCTCCCTTGCCTTCTCTTAGTTTGTGAAGGAAGCAAGACAGTCAGTGTTTGCAGAATACTTGTTCCAAGCCCCTTACAAACTACATAAAAGAGTTATTACTCTTTTTGATGATTATTTATTTGAAAGGTAGCACCAACAGAGACAGAAAGAGAAAGAGATCTTCCATCTGCTGGTTCTTTCCCCAAATGTCCACAACAGCCCGGGCTGGGCCAGAATTTAGGGACTCCATCTGGGTCTCCTCCATGGGAGGCAGGAACCCAGGTATACCTGCTGCCTTGTTGCACTTAGCAGGATCCAGGTACACCTGCCACTCCCAGGGTATACTCAGCAGGAAGCTGGATGGGAAGCAGAGATGGGACTTGAACCCAGGCACTCTGATACGAGATGCAGGCATCCCAAGCAGTGACTCAACCCACAGTGCCTGTCCCTCTTGTCCTCACAACAGTTCTGTCATAATGGGAAGGCCGTGTTTTCTTTGTAGAGAAGAGAAGCTGATATTTCCTAAGCTGGTATAATGAGCATTGTACTTTGTACCTTCATGTTAGTTCATCTCAGAACAATCTGCAAGGCTGCTGGTATTATGGCACCACCAATCTGCAAGGTTGGTGATATTATGGCAATTCTGTAGATGGGGAAACTGGCTTAGAGTACCTCATTTCCTGAGTTTTACACTTTAAAAGAGAGTGAATTTTATGATAGTGAATTATATCTCAGTAAAAAATTAACAGGGTTAGTCTTGTGGCACAGAGGATTAAGCCGCTGTGTGCGATGCCTGCATCCCATATAAGTGCCAGTTCAAGTCCCAGCTGCTCTACTTCTGGATTCAGCTCCCTGCTAATGTTCCTGGGCTGGCAGAGGAAGATGGCCCAATTACTTGGGCCCCTGCCACCCACATGGGAGACCCAGATGAAGCACCAGGCTTCTGGCTTCATCTTGGACCAGCCCTGGCCATTAATGGCCATGGACTTTCTGAGATCTTTTATTTTCTGTAAAATCCTGTGGTTGCAAAGCAGTTTTCCGTATTGGGGTGGGCATTTGGGGGAGGGTCCTGATCGCCTTCTGAGCTTCTTAACATTTAATTGGGTCCATTTCAGTATGAAATCCTAACTTTGTTGTTGCTGCTGCTGCTTTACTTCATTTTATATAAGATTCTTGTTTTTAGCTGTCTAGCACATACTGAGGAGAGGCTCAGAAATGTGACCTCTAGATTGGGATTGTTCCTGTAAAATTCAGCAATAGAATTTTTTGTTAAAGATTTACTTATTTACTTGAAAGTCAGAGTTACACAGAGAAGGAGAGACAGAGAGAGAGAGAGGTCTTCCATTCACTGGTTCACTCCCCAGATGGCCGCAATGGCTGGAGCTGTGCCAATCCAAAGCCAGGAGCTTCTTCCTGGTCTCCCACGCGAGTGCAGGGGCCCAAGGACTTGGGCCATCTTCTGCTTTCCCAGGCCATAGCAGGGAGCTGGATTGGAAGTGGAGCAGCCAGGACTCGAACTGGCGCCCTTATGGGATTGCCAGCACTGCAGGTGGCAGTTTTACCCACTATGCCACAGCGCTGGCCCCTCAGCAAGAGAATTTTTTTTTATATCTTGAGCCACAGAGCAGTCTAGCATATGTGATCTAGACCTAAACTATTGGAATTTTAGGGTTATTTTAATAGTTTTGGAACTTTTAAACCATATTCTACCAAATGAGATATTAATGAGGTGCTCTGTGAAAGGCGAGTCAATAGGTATACACAAATCTCCCACACGGAGCTGCGGCCTCAGCCCTGGCAGCACCTCAGTCACCTGGGAAGTTGTTTTTTTTGTTTGTTTAAATTGATTTGAGAGAGTGCTCCCATCTGCTGTCTCCAAAAATGCCCACAGCAAAGCCTGAACTAGAACTCAATCCAAGAACCCAACCACGGTAGCCATCACCACTGCCTCGCAGCGTCTGCATTGGCAGAAGCTGGAGTCAAGAACTGAGAACTGAGGGTGGGCCCGCCAACATGGAGACAGGTGTCCTAGCTGTTGGGCTAAATGCCCGCCCTTGGGAAACTTACCAATGTCCGTGTTTGCGTCGCACATACAGAGATTCGGATTTAATTGTATGGGGTGGAACCTGAGTGTCACTCATGTGGCAATGCTCCCCAGGTGGCTGTCAGGGTGAAGACGTTTACAGAGTGTATTAGCCCACTAACTGCTGTGAAGTCTTTAATAACGACACCTGTCAGACTCTTGTAACCCTGAATTTCTCAAATTCCTCATAACTTCCTCGTGACTCCTCTCCTTTCCCCCCGGTGCTTTTATTAACCTGCTATGCTATTCTGAAGAGCAGTGTTTTGTAGAATGCTAGTTAAAGATTCAGCCAGACCAAAGACAAAACAGGGTATGTTCTCATGCTGTGGAGGCTACCTCTCAGTTTCAGGCTCCTCATCTATAAAGTGGGGAGTGGGGTATCTATCACACAGAAAAACTGGGAGAGTTAGATGAAATAAAACATGCATTTACCTGGCACAGGGTGAGTACTCTCTGGATAGTAGGCTGGTTAGGAATTGGCACCATTACTAGACTCTCCAAGGCACCAAAATGGGTCAGACTATCAGGATGTTAGCTGTCCCCGCTGGGCCTGTGGACCCCTGGTGCTGCCCTCACCCGAATCCCTGAGAGAGGTGAGATTCTGCCTCCCCCAGCCCAGGGAGAGGCAGGCTTCCCCTTCTGCTAGTGGGCACTGCTAACTCTCCTCTCCCACCTTGTTCCCAGGAAAGATGGTGAATGTACCCCTGGAGCAGCTGCCCCTCCTCTTTAAGGTGGTGCTGCATTCCTGCAAGACAAGTGTGGGCCAGGAGTGACCTGTTCCCAGTGCCCTGCTCAGGCCACACCGGCGCACTGGCTGGGCAGGAGAGGCTCCGGAAGGAAGAGCCAGAGACCAAGACGAGGCTGTGGCACAGCGTTTGCGGTTGCCTCCGCAGCCAGAAGAGTGTTTGTTTGTGTGTCTGTTTTAACCTCATTTTTCTATATATTTATTTCACGACAGAGTTGAATGTATGGCCTTCAACATGATGCACATGCTCCTGTGTGAGTGCAGCAGATGCATCTCCTTGCAGTTGGCAGACTGTGAAGATGTTTAATGTTACAGTGTTGTCATTGTTTAGAGATAGTTCTTTTGTATTTCGAGGGAGAGGGTGGGATGGGGCTGAGATGACTATCTCCATAACGTTGACAAAGACAACTACCTCAGTGGGAAAGCGGGGGTGTGACCACCCCTACCTTTTCTGCGTTTTCTCGGCAGACTCGTGCATGATGTGTCTGTCAGAGAGCACACTGCCTTTTTCTAGCCACAGAATTGCCAGGTAAAGAACCTCACCAGAAAGGGGCACAGTGTTAGGAAGCGTACTGAGCAGCGTGGGTGAGACGCTGGGAACGGCAGGCAAGGGCTGAGCCAGCTCTTTGCTTTGGGAGGCATGAAAGTAAAGAGTAGGGCCAGCTGGCCAAATCTCAGCAGATCCCCCCCGCCCTGCGAGTCCTATGGGGAGAGGGGCTTCTGCTCTCACACCTTGCTGCGCCTCGCCACCGGCACCACCCTGTCAGGTCTGCCCCTTGCGTTTTCATCCTGGCACAGTCCTAGCAGTCAGCCCGCTCCCATGGGGCACACAGCTCCCTCGTCTCCTTCCCTGGGTCTGCTGAGACCTAACTTCCTTGGACCCTTCCTTCTCCCTTACAAACTTGACTTCTGTCGGTCCATCGAAAAACTGAGAAAAGTGCTGTGTTCTGGTTCCTAGTACCCTCTACTGATTTATTCTCCTTTAGCTGGTTTTCTTCAAAGGGTAGTGGTGCAAAGGCCAGACTGCTAAAAGAATGAACACTCCTTTCCCCCTATTCCGCATCCCACCCTCAGGACCAAATCTAAAACTATCTCTGTTTTAAATAGTAGAAAGGGCAATTAGCCTCTGCTGACTAGAATGTTGCCTCTGCATTCTAGTCAGTTTTTCCTAATCTCTCCAGGATGAGACCAGGTTTCCTCAGGGCCCCAGAGCTGACAGCCCAAGGCCCAGAGTGGCCCAGCTACCCCTTAGAGAGGCCTGGAGGGCCGGAGCCGTAAGTAGGTGGAAGGGAAGGGGAGCTTTAAACTACCTCATATTCTAAAGGGCCTGCTGCCGCCTCTGCAGGGATGGCGTGGACCTCTGCTGCTGCTACTACTGCCCCACCTCGTCCTAGGAAGTGTTCTTGACCCTCTCGACTTTGGCCAGGGCCACGCTAGATCAGTCTTGGAACTCTTTCAGATGCTTTTTCCTTCTCTGCCTTAATATAGCAATTGCTGTCGCCTACACCCAGGTGTCGCCCACAGCCAGCGTGGCAGACAGACCACTTAGCTGGGGCCATCCCTTGGTGTGCTTGAGGGGCCCACAGCACCTTTCCTGACGATTTAGTCAAAGGCTGTTTGCTCTCTCCCCAACTCAGCCTATAAAACCTGCCCAGGGGGCTGCTACACCTACACTGTGTACCCATTGAGTAGTCCCTGTCTGGTTGTAATTTTTTTTTCCAGTGAAATGTTACGGGTACCACCAGAGTAATGATTTTTGTTCTTTGATGGATCTGAAACTCAGAGCATTACTCCTCAATGCCATTTTTGCAACTGCTCTGAGAAAGAAAGAAAAAGAAAGAGACATGTTTCTCAGGAAAAGCTCCAGCTAGCATGTTTTTCACATGTCAATGGGAAGATTGTGTGTGTGTGTGTGTGTTTGTGTGGTCTAAGTTCACAATATTTTTCTTGTTTCTCTGAATCTTTTATTTAACCAACTAGATCACATTCTTTGGCTCCAGGTCAGATTCTGAGCTGCCTACCTCAAGACAGGGGAAGAGGCACATATCAGAGACCCCTCTCCAGGCAGCTGCTATGTACAACCTCTTTCTATGCTTAAGGCTCCATCTGTCAAATTATTATTTTTGAAATTGCTTTTCAAATCAAGCATTTTACCCGTTGTGTTGGGTGTCAAAGGAGAGTGCTCTCTGATGAGGCAAGAACATGTCTCTCCAATAATGTAGTATTAAACCGAGCAAGTTGTTAATTTGTGAAGTGGGGAAAGGTTCTGCAAGTTGCCATTGTACAGATCCATTTTTACAAATGTTTGCAGCAGATTCCACAGAACAAAGAGCCCATTCACTACTGGGAGCCCTACAGAATCTCAGAGCCAAGTGGCTGTGTGTTCCAAGCCAGAGCCTGACCTGTGGACCGCCTTTAATGTCTTCTGCACCCAGTCCTTTTAGGACGTGGGCTTTTTTTAAACAGGGTAAAGTGAATGTGTTGCATTGCAAACTCAGGTATTATGAGGAGAAGGTAGGAGTGTAGCTAGCAGCGTGGAGACATTAGGTCAGCCACTAGATGTATTTGTGAATTTGGTTTGAAGGACACAGAGAAAGGTTGGAGAGGGAGGTTTGGTGTGTTTGTTTTTTGCCTTTCTTCCCATGATGTTTGGTTAACAGGTAGCCTTTTTGCTAGTGGAAGAAGAAAAAGTTGTGTGTATTGTCTCTGATTCCTTTCTCTTCTGTCCTCTCTCTATCCCCAGCCACCACAAGCACTCACTCTGAGTGAGTTTTTCCACCATAAAAATAGGACCCTGAAAGCTGTGGGAAAGGAGAATCCCACCTCCTTGCACTGCACTGAGACATGTAAGCTTTCCCCCCTTTTCCCCTTTTAAACATTTTCTTGAGACCTAAGACCAAAGTTTGGAATCTGAGAATATCATCTGTAATTCATGCTTTCCAGCTCCCTTTAGACTAATCCTAGAGTCCTTGGCAAGGTTTGGTGGTCTTACCCCTTATTCTGGAGAAATTCCCCAGAACCTGTCTCAAAGCACTGTACCTGGCCCAGAGGGCACCCAGCCACCATGCCCAAACCACAGGTGAGGTGGGCAAGCCTTCGGGGATAGAGGGAAGCAGACAGGAACCTCCATATCCTGTTCCTTAGAGCCAGACAGGGATAGAGGAAACCTAGGGGCCTCCGTGGCATCACTGAAGTCACCCACTGCATACCAGCTTGCCTCCCACCTGTCACCCGTTCTGCAGGGAGGCACCTGCCATGTCACCTTCACCATGGTGAAGATCCTTAAAACCTAGACCTCTCTGGGCCAGCTGCTTGCTCTGCCACCCACTCTACCTTTGTTTACTTGTTCCTGATATCCTGGGGAGGGGGACTGATGGAGATGGACAGTTCCAATGTGGGCAACATCTAAGCCATGTCCAGAGTTGGCCCAAATAAGGGGACCGTGACCTCGTAGTAGGGCAGGAGGCTGAGCAGCTGTTCCAGGTCTTTAGCTCCACACACCTAGTCTGTGACTCTTTTTAAATTTTTGCAGTTGTTTTAAGAGATCCAATCTTGCAGATCAGTCCTTTTATTAAACTTTGAATTTTCCTTTGTTTTTTTTTTTAAAGTAAAAAAAGAAAAAAAACCCAAAAACTTAAAAAAAAAAAAAGCCACTACTGTTAATTCCCTCCTTTTCCCTGTGAGTCTCCCGCCCCCCTCTGCCTTTGCCGTCAATCGTCCTCCTCTTTGCTCTGCCTGAAGCCTCTCTGTCCAGTGTCTGTGAAGCGATGTTTTATCTTTGTCTCAGGATGAGAAGCGGCAATCATTCTGCCAGGTGCTGGAAACTGGTTAGCCTCGAGACAGGTGTTTCTAGGGCCACAGCTCAGGGATGTGTATTTAATTACAGGGTCCCCAGAAACCCCTCTTGGCTGCCACAAGCAACATCCTCTTTTCTGGACTTGGGAGCCAGACCTGGACTGCTCCTCAGAGGCAGGAGCCCCCAGAGAGCCTGCTGAGTCTGGGAGCAAGCTGGACTTCCCCTGTGGCCAGATCTAGGCTACTTTGAAACTTGAAACCTGTGGCTGTCCTGTGACATGAGCCACAGTGGCCCTTCCTCTGCCAGCTCATAAGGAGCATGGTGTTTCCGTGCAGCCCAGGCCCTGTCTGGCCTCCCTCTTCTGGGCCTGCAGCCCCTAAATGGGCCACAGCCCGCTTAGGAATCCACAGCTTGGCTCGAAGGGGAGCTGTAAGGCCAGAGCCTGCTCCAAGCCCAAGAAAAAAGCTGTGATTCTGGTGAAGGCTAGTCTTCCAAATCCTGGAGCCAGCCCTGCCAGCCACAGGACTGTCTCCCCTTTGGTGACCGTTGTTTTCTTCCTCTGCAGTGTCTTATGATAGGTGATAATGTTGTTGACTCAAATTTCCATGGAAAAAAAAACAACCAACCAACCAAACAAAAACTACCTCTTGAGTGACATCCTGGTAGATTCCTCCCTGAGGAATCCTGTGGGAAAAGAGAATATTGTAGCTCCTGCTCTGTTTACATGTTTCTGTCGGGAAAGAAGCCCCGCCTGCCCTGGGATGCTGGTGTTTTTGTCTGTGTTGCCAACCGGGCCCGTGATAGGGGCTGTGGCTGCGTTGTAATGTCTGGGCTGTGTCGGGGGAGGCCTTCCCACCTGCCCAGCCAGGAAGCAGCCACTCCCTTGGAAGGGCCTCTGTTCCTTTCCTATGCTCCGAGGCATGGAGAGCACACCTCCCACAAGCCCACCTTGTAGGGGCACTGGTGGCACAGATAACATGAGCCTGCCCTTGGACTACATATTCCAGGCCTGCCTCTGCCCACAGTCTTGTGTAGGAATCCAGTAAATGGGATGTCTCTGAGCCCTTGTCCCCGTGGGGCCGGCCAAGGGCTGCCTGCCAGCCTGGCTCCATCAGTCCTGCTTGGTCAAGTGTTAGTTGGCAGGCCACCCAGGCCCTCTGCTACCTCCCACCCTTGCCAGTGGGCAGGGGCTGGGCCCTGTTCTGTGAATTGACTACCTGTGGAAATGTGACCAATTAGTGTGAAATGCATGTTTAGCAAGTGTTAGGTACTGTATTTGAACCAATAAATGTGAATCCTTCTGCACATGGCATCTGTGTGTGAAGCTTGTGTGGGCTTCTGGGAAGGGACGAAGGGATGGGGTGGGGGCGGTTCTGGGGCTGGGGAGCTGGCTCATGAGTTCAGCCCCACTCATGTCTGAGGTCGTCCCAGCTCTACAGCTGAGGTCTGGCAGAGGGCGGTCTCAGCACCAACTGAGCGCCTGCTGCCTGTGCCCGGCACTGTGCCAGGACTTCCCATCAACCTAGAGCTCCTGAGCGGACGGGAGTCTTGCCTCTGTTTTCTATGTGAAGGCACTCAGGTTGGCAAAGAGGAAGGGGCTCGCCCCAGGCCCCCCAGGCCGAAAGTGGCCCACAGAGGAGCTGAGTCCAGTGGGAAGAGAGGCGCAGACTCTTGTCCTTAGTGGGGTGAGGTGGTAGTGGGGGGATCCATGTGGGGCAGTTTAGGCCTGGAGGGGGTGCCGTGTTCTATTCAGGATCGCTGGGAAGGGCTTCGCAGATGAGTGTTGTTGAGGAAAGCCACCAGGCCACGAGGAGAGGCTGGACCAGGGAGAGGATCAACAACGCGTTCAAAGGCCCAGCTGTGAATCGGAAGATAAGGAGTGCTTGGATACAACCAGGAGCTGCCCTGGCAGGAGTGTGGGAGGGTGGCAGGGATTAGCAAACGTTGAGACTGGAGAAGCAGTTGGGATCCTTGAAGTTCACCTCCAGGAGTCTGCAGAAGGAAAGCCATTTGCCCAGTTTCAGGGAAGACAGCTGCGGCTCCATGACAGACAGCAGCCCGCCGGCTGGGGCCTGACCTGCCCGGCGTGCCCTGCGGCCAAGCCCGTTAACGCCCGCCTTTCCAGAAGATACGTGAGGCCTACCAGTGGCTTTTCTAGGTCTGAGCAAACAGGCTCCGAGAGGTCGGGGGGCGCAGCCAAAGTCCCACAGGAAGTGTCAGTGAGAACTTGAACCCATATCTGCCCCACTCCAAAGCCCAAGCATCCTGTAATCCTGCTCAGAGGATCAGAGAAGTGGCAGAGTGGGTTGAGGTTGTGTGAAGACAGATGGGAAGATACAGGCTGAGGAGAGTCTGATCAAAGTCTATTAAATTCTCTTGTGTGAAATGGGGGAAGCCCAGCTGCCTTCCTATACCTCAGCCTCCAGCACGAGGGGCCGGAGAGCCCTTGAGACTTGAAAGAGATGGTTTTAGAACAAAGGGAAATGCTGCAGAAGGAATTAATAGACCGTCTTCCCTGCCCCGCAAGTGGGAAGAGATACGCAGAGGTGCAAGCACAGAGGAGGGTCACGCTGGCTGACCGCCCAGGGAGGGCAGGCGTGGTTGGCGCTTCACTCGCCTTGTCTCGTGTAATCCTCCTAACAGCCTTGCAAGCTGCCAGCCTCAGAAGCAAATCGAGGCTTGAGGAAGTTAAGCCATTTGCTAAGACGACACATGAGCAAGGGGCAGAACTGACTTTTCCGTCCACGTCTATCTGATACCAAAGTTACAACGAGCTTCCTCCCTGCTCAGCCGTAGCAACTCGATAGTGCTGAATATGAATGCCAGCGTTTGTTACAAAGCTCAGTAATGGCCTTTGGTTGAACCTTTTGCTATTAAAAAAAAAAAAAACAAAACACACACACACACACAAGGAAATAAAAAATTTAAAAAACCTTTCATTAGGGATCGACACTATGGCATAGTGGGTAAAGCCACTGCCTTCAGTGCCAGAATCCCATATGGGCACCGGTTCGAGTCCCAGCTGCTCCACTTCCATCCAGCTCCCTGCAGATGCACCTGAGAAAGCAGCAGAAGATGGCCCAGAAGTCCTTGGTCCCCTGCCACCCACATGGGAGACTGGGAAGAAGCTCTGGCTGTTGCAGCCATTCGCGGAGTGAACCAGCGAACGGAAGGTCTGTCTCTGTCAGCCTCTGCCTCTCTGTAACTCTGACTTTCAAATAAATAAATAGGATCTTAAGAAGAAGAAGAACCTTCATTAAACTAATAAAGGAGTAATCCTGCAAGAGCCACACGAGCAACCAGATTGAACCGCAAAGCAGCGCTGTCCCACACACTTGCAGGATGCTCCAATCTGAGTTCTCTGAGCGAGGCGGGGTGGGGTAGGAGTTCTGTTGCCAAAACTTTGGGAAATACTGCACTCCGTCTTCTCCCTGATTCCCTTTCATTGGGCTGTTAAAGGCTCTGAGAAAGCCCACGGGTGAAACCTAATTTTGTTTAGCCCACATGCTACCAAAAGTGTTTGTGCTTTGGACAGTTTTTTCATCCTCTTAAAATCCTTTTGGAACAGTCCTCCGTGGAATACAATTCAGGACACGACTCGAAATTCATAAATCGTTACTTAAGTGAAACTGAGCCCTTGGCTTCCTGGAGCGCCAGGCGATAATCTGGAAGTACTGAACAAGAGTCAGCACGTCGAGAACAGAGCGAAGCACTGCGCTACGCATTCTGCCTGTGAGATTACTGATTTCTGGAGCAGCCCCATGAGGTGGATGCTGTAGTGACCCCCTTTTACAGATAAGAAAACCGAGGGCCAGCAAGAGTAAATAGTTTGCCTAAGTGGTTACCTAAGTAGTGAGACCTCAGGAATGAATATGAAACATCATTGATTGAGTGCCTGTGATTGGGCAGGCTCTGCACTGCCAGACCCTTCTCCTGTGCAGGCCCTCGGAGGTAAGGAGGTCATCTCCATGGCACTGAAGGGGCAGGGAGTGCTGGCTGCTCTGGCTTATGGCAGAGTCTGAAGCCAGAAGCCCCCAGAAATGATGACAAGGGAGGGGGTTGGGATGAGTGGGTCTGGCCCTGGACAGCCTGCGTGTGAGACCGCAGGAGCTTCAATGAGGGGTTCCACCACCCGAGTTCTAATTCCAGCTCTTCCCCTTTGAGTTGTGTGTGGCCTTGACCCAGAGAGACGCCTCTGGTCCTCACTGTCCCTGTCAGATAAATGGAGAGGATAGCGCCTGTGTCTCCGTGCCTAGCTCCAAGTCGGGGCTCAGTGAAGCCCACATACAAAAGGAAAGCACATACCGCGAGCTGCCGCACCTACCCCTCAACTGCAGGAGCCCAGCAGAGCCAGGAGCCACCTCTCTGGCTTGGCCTGCCCTTGGCCTGGCTGCCCATCCGGGTTTAGGTGCACAGTGGTAATCAGCCTCTCAGATCCTGTGGCAAAAGTGCCCAACTGCCAGACCCGGGGCTGTGGAGTCCCGTTCCCTTGGCAACGAGTCTCACCATGGAGACCACAGCCCCATCCTTGCCCTCCCTGCAAGCAGCCTCTCCACAAGCCTTCCCTGCTCCACGCCCAGTCCGAGGAGGAGCAGCGGAGGTCCCGAGGGGCACGCTGAAGGAGCACTTCCTCGGGGTGAGGAGCCGGAGGCACCGCCAGCCAGGGAGGCAGAGGGAGCTCCGGTTTTCCGAGTCCACGATAGGCCCGGCTAGTTTCCGAGGAGTCTGCGGACTGTGGCATTTAGGTTGGAAGCTGGGCGCTCAGCCTATTGGATGATGGTGCCTCCATTTCAACCTTGTAAGACCCTGAGCAGAGCCAGGCTAATGCAAACAGAGGCTCGGGAGGCAGCCCGAAACGGACCAGACCGGACCAGACCGGACCAGCCTTGCAGCTCCAGAGTACTGGAGCGGAGACCTGAGTCCAGGGTTCTGACCCTGGAGCCTGTATTTTCTCTGCAAGCCCCCACCTCCACTCCTAAGGCCGAGATGCGCAGCCCCCAGCCACAGTTGGAAAGGGCTGGAGAGTCGGAGGGCCCCCTCCACCCTGGGCCAGCAGCCGGTTTGAGGGCTGGGCTGGGCAGCAGCAGCAGCAGAGGAACTGCACTATTTTAAGCCAGGGCCAGAGGGCCCCTGTGGGCACAGGGAGGGTGGCCTCGGGCCCTTGGCCAGCTTCCCGGAAGTCACGATGGCCTCCCTCCTCTCTTTCTGGGGCAGCCACTTCCCTGCAAACAGGAAGGAGGCCCTTAGGCCAGGAGAGTCCAGCCCCAGCTTCCGCTCCTGCCCCCCAGTCTTCTGTGCTTCAGGGGGAGCCCACTAATGCCAGGCCCCGATTCCCAGCAGGTGAGCGGGAGGGGGCCTGGGTTTCCACCATGTGGGCTGGCTCAGCCGCCCCGGGGTAGGCTGCCACTTTCCCAGACCCCGTGGCCCCTCACCCGCAGCCTCAATTCCCATACCCGAGGTGACTGCAAAAGTTCATGGAAAATGGCATGCCAGGGGAGGTTTCTTTTAGGCACAAAACATTTTCAAAATCCATGTGTAGTTTTTTTTTTTTTTTCCATAACACATTTCCATGAACTTTGTGAAGACCCCTGGCCCACAGCCAGAAAGAAGAGCAGAAAGAAAGAGCCAGACTCAGCCCCTCCCAGGACCCCAGAGAGCCGGGAGATGGGCAGACACCAGAGAGACTGAGCCCGTCGAAGGGAGAGACCGAAGCGCAAGCAGCGACAGCGTCCTGGACACGGACACAGAACAGGACGGCTCAGAAAAGCAAAGTGACACCAGCCATGGCTGTACCGACCGGCCCGGGGCCAAGAGAACAGGGCATGGCGCTCGCGGTGGGGACCGCCCAGCCCGCCAGCCACGCGAGGCCCACGAGGCCCATGAGATCAGGTGGTCTGGCCCTGCCACGGCCGCCGTGGCAGGGACTGGAAACTCGCTAAATCTCGAGTGGCCGGTGTGCATTTTGTATGGCCCACGGGTGATGTTAGATACACCCAAATGGCCCTGTGGCAGAAAAAAGGCTCCTGCCCACCCCCAACTACCGGCCCTGTGTCAGGGCTGCGGGGGGCCTGGCGGCTGTGTGGCTGAGCAGGAATGTGGGGAACAAGGCTGGGTCACCCCTGAGGGCCAAGCGCGTGCCCCGGCCGATAAGCTGCCCCGGGAAGGGGGCCCCAGCTGCACAGCCTGCTCCAGAGGCGAGGTGCAGAGGCCCAAGGCTGGAGCCCCAGCTCCCACCCCGGCCCGAGGAGCTCCACCGGGCCGCAGAGGCTCATGGTCAGGGCCGGGCCCTGCCACAGACAGGCTGTCACCCTGCGTCTCCAGCTCTGGCCTAGGTGAGAGGGCTGGGGACAGGGCACCAGCAGGGCAGGACAGCTCTGCACCCAACTGTGCCTGTCCCCTGAGTGGCACTGGGCACTCGTGTGTGTGTGTGTGTGCATGTGTTCACATGCCACCTCAGGCATGGGGCTGCATGTAGATGCACGTGGCCACGTGGCACCAGGAGCCCCTCTTGGCCATTGCAGGTCCCTACTCTCAGTCCAGGGGCCCCCCAGAGGCACCCAGCCTCCCCAACTCCCACCAGATGGGCCTGGAGCGTGGAGAGCTGCGAGGCAGACAGGGGGAGAAGGCGCAGGTCTGCGCTGGCCCCCAGCCCCCCTCCCCACGCTGCAGCTGAGGCTCCCGCCGGCCACGGCCTTGACCCAGCACTACGGACTTCTCTGACATTGGCATCGGATCTGAACATCTGGCAGCAGGCTGATAAGGGGCGCAGCGGAAACAGCCTCCAGCGCTGCCAGCGGCCCGCCCCCTCCACTGCCCTCCACAGGGTCTGCCTTTGCCTCCCGTGCCGGGGGCCTCTGCCCCTCTCCTCACCTCCTCTGCCTCAGTTCCTCTCTCTCTCTCTCTGCCTTCTCCACAACTCTGAATTCCAACCCCCATCTGCAGGTCTGCTTGGCTCTCCAGCGGGCTCTCCCTTCTCGCTCCGCCTCCTCTGCCTCAGTCTCCCCTACAACGTCTCTCCTTCTTTCCCCCTGGACCCCGACAGCAGCCCAGTTGTCCTGGCCTCCCCTGTGCGCCTCAGTTTCTGGGTCTCAGCCTTGCTGGTTCCCACTCTGCCGCCTGGAAACGGGCCCAGCACTTGGGCCAGCCTCCTTCCCCTCCCGCGGGTCGCTCGGCCTGGAACAACCTGGGCTGGAGGACACACAGGCCCCCCCAGGGCTGTGACAGAGGGGGCCCCCAGACTCTGCCAGGATTTGAACCCCGCGCCAGCCTGGCACCCTCCCTTGGTGACTTCTTCACTTCTCAAGTGCTGGCCCTGGGGCTGAGGGCAAACACCACCTCCCTCCCCAGGACAGGTGCCGGCAGGCGGGCTTGCAGGGGGTCCAGCAGGTGGGGGGCGCTAGGGCCTTGCCATTCCCATCATGGGAGCCACCCCTGGGAGCACCGAGGGGGTCCGAGAGGCGGCACAAAGGAAGGGCATCCCCACTGATCCGGGGCTGGGCAGGATGCGGGGTGGTAGACAGTAGAATCGCACCCGCTAGGCAGAGGCCAGCGGGCCCTCGACACACACGGCACACACGCGGCAGGGCTCACTCTGCGCCGGCCACTGCGGGCTGGGCTGAGTCACCCTATCAGAGAGGCAGGCACGGCTCCTGAGGTCGTGGCACTCTCTGGCTGCACCCAGCCAGGTCCCCTGAGGACAGATGCGTCAGCCTTCAGCTTGTTGTTTGTTTGTGTTTTGATAACATTTATTGAGCGCACACAACATACCAGGACGCTACACGTGTCGTCTCCTTTCATCCCCACTTGACAGAGAAGACACGAGGCCCAGAGATGGAAAGGGAGCCGCCTGGACTCACACAGCCCACAGGGGCCAGAGTCTGCCCAGAATTCTCCGGCGCTCACCAGGGGCCGTGGCAGAGCTGGGCTGGGGCTCTCCGTGAGTGTGGTCATGGTGTTGTTTAGAAGGCAGCAGGTTAGGCCACCGCCTGCAGTGCCAGCATTCCTGTTGAACACCTGGTTGCTCCGCTTCCAATCCAGCTCCCTGCAAATGCGCCTGGGAAAGCAGCGGAAGATGGTGCAAGTGCTTGGGCCCCTGCACCCATGGGAGACCCGATGGCGTTCCAGGCTCCTGGCTTCAGCCTGGCCCAGCCCCAGTTATTGCGGCCATCTGGGGAGTGAACCAGCGGGTGGAAGATTCTCTCTCTTTTTCTCTCAAGTCTTCCTTTCAAATAAATAAATCTTAGAACAAAACAAAACAAAACACAAAAAAACAGGCAGGAAAAGCAGGCCATGCCTTTACAGCGCCTCCCACCTAAAGAGGCCCCAGTTGCTAGGACTATGGTGTTAGCCCATGAATGTGGCCCACTGGGGAGGTGGGGTATCTGCTGGGTTATCTTTTTAATAAATTCAGAAGGCGGATGCCATTTACCCAGAAATAAACCCGCTGCATTAAAATGGTGAAACCAGGAGATAGAATGATGAAACATGAAACAAGACGGGGAGACGGGCGGGGGGCAGCCGCATGCAGACAGGTGCAACTGGAAGGAAGTTCCGCAGGGGAGAAGCCCCCGGGCCTGCACGGTGGGTGCGAGCAGGCAGCAGACGCCGGCCGGCGGAATGGGGAGCAGCCGCGGAATGGTTCCGTAGGCTCCCAAGCTCTTAAAAGAGCGCTGGCCGAGGCCACAGTCGGCTCCAGGGGCCCGGAGCAACACCACTCGCCCCAAGCCGGTTTCCCTCTCTCCTCAGGTGAGGGGTGGTCCCGACCCCACGCCCTTCCCCAGCCTCCAGGGGGCGGGGGGAGTTCTCCCAGGTGGACACTGCTTACCTTTGCTTCACCCCGGGGTCCCTAGTGCCTGGAACAGTGCCTGGGCCCCAAGGTGCACTCTGCACACCAAGTGAAGGCAGCGCAGGCCTGCGCAGAGCAGTGCACAACACACACCACGGTTCCCATGGGGCCTGGACTTCTGGGTAAAAGCCCCCTCCCTCTGCCCAGCCCCCTGCTGGCCTGGCTGCCCAGTCGGCCCACCGAGGCTGGGCCCCGAGTGTTCCAGATGTGGGCTGTGCGGGGCCCGGAGCCCAGCGGGCTCACCTGCTTCCCCTTCCACCCTCTCTGCCTCCCTTTACCTCCTGGGAGAGTAGAAGGTGCAGGCCAAAGCAGCCAGCCGCCTGGTCAAGTGGTCCATGCCCCTGCCTCCGCTCCCACGTCTGGGCCAGGCCGGACCACGACGGGCCAGGCCCCAGGGAGGTAGCTGTGCACAGGGAGAGAGGCCCGGCTCCAGGCAGCCCATAAATCAGGTCCCACTCCCACCGGTCGCTAACAAGCCGGGCTGCCTACCCGCCTCCATGGGGTCCCTGCCTCCGGACTCCCGCGGGGCCTGGAACAGCCGGCTGCCCAAGGCCTCCCGGGTGCCTTGGCCTCCGCCCCCACCGCGGCCCCCAGATAGATAGGGGTGGTGGGGATTTTGTCTTTTTTTTTTTTTTTCTTTTACAAGAAGAGAAAAAAATAGACATAAATGAAGAAAAACACCAACAAAGGAGCGAGGCCTGCGAGTCACGTGGGGGCAGAGACCAATTGGGCCTCCGGCGGCCCCCCCACCCCGGGCGGGGAGGAGGAGGAGGACGGACGGACAGGGCCAGCCTGCTGTCCGCCGGCCGCCCGCTGTGGCGTGAGGGAGTCCCCGCGTGCCCACCGCCGCCAGCGCCCCACCTGGGCCGCCCGAGCCATCCCCCGGAGCGTGGTGCCCACTGTCCACCCTCATCCGGCGACCGAACGCTCCTTCCGCTCCGTAAGTGAGGGCCTGGGCCCAGGCCTCCCCGCGGCCTGTGCCGGCCACTGTCTGCCCTGCAGAACGGCTGTGCCCGCTGCAAGGGGCAGGCATGGCCTGCGGCTCCCCAGGCCGGCTCTTCTTCCCTGGCCTGCTGACGGGAGGGGCTCGGCCTGCGGCCACCGGGCCTGCGAGGGTCTGTGGGGGTCTGAGGGTCCCGCTGGCTCTGTCTGTCCGAGTCGGGTAGCCTGTGTGAGTCGGTGGGTCTCTGGGCCTCCCTTTGGGTGCCCGCCTGCCTGTTGTCTCTGTCTGAGTCGGCTTGGATCTGTGTGTCTGTTTCGAGTGTCTGTCTGCCCGTCTTCGGGTTCTGCGGTGGGGCCCAGTCTGCGTTTGCTTCCCTGGGTGGGTGGGGTTGTGGGGTGGGTGGGCGGGGTACAACCTGGGGTGGTGGAACCCTGGGGTGAGGCGGCTTGAGGGAGGAAGAGAGCTGGCTCAGAACACAGGCCCCGGGCTCTGCACAGGCCTGTGCTTGCACTGGGGGTCTTCCTCAGCAGTGGCCGGGAGACCCCAGGACCTGCACACTGGAGAGGCAGGCCAGGGTCCCCACCCTCCCCCTTCCACCCGTGGCCCGTTTCCCACTGTCTGGGGGCCTCTCTGATGGGGAGTTGCAGGGAGGCAGGAGAAGCCCCCGCTCCCACCCCCCAGCCACCTCCTTCCCCAGGGGCTCGGGTGGGCGGGCGGGGGCTGCGGCTCTCTCACCTCCTCACCGGGATTCTTCCTTGGCCTCTCCTGGAAACCGCTCAGCCGCATCTGGAGGGCCGATCTCTTCCGTTTTCTGTGCGGAGAAAACGAGGCTCAGAGACGCGGAGTGCTTTGCTCTAGCTGGCCCAGCAAGCTCGCGGCAGATGGCACTCCCTCCGCGGGGCGAGCGCGCTCGGGGACGGTCTGCACGCAGAGCCGGCCCTCCGTTCGCAGGACCCGGGCGCCAGCCCCGCATGGAGCCCCTCGGCGGCTCGCGGCTTTGGGGTGCCGCCGTCCCCGACACCCTCTCCACCCCAGGTCGAGCAGTGGAGCCCTTCCTGTCTCGGTCGCGGCCTCAAGACTGTCTCGGACGCAAGGCGGGAGCGGCACTGGGGCCGCCCCTGGCCAGGAGCAATTTCTCTGCGCGTCCTGGCCCCCGGGCTCGGGGGGCCCCTCTGTACCCAAGGCTGCTGGGCCTCCCCTTCCCCCACTCCCAGCCCCTGCCAGGAGAACTCGGAGGGATTAGGGGCGCCTCTGCCCTTGGTGGCGCCGCTGGCCCAACTTCCGCGCCCCGCCTGGCCTCGGGGACTCCCCAGGCGCCTCCAACTCCGTTCGATTCGTATCCGCAGCAGAGCAAACTACGGTTCGTGGAGAAAGGGCCCTTCCGCCATGCCAGGCACGTGCCCGGCGAGTGCCATTCCGGTTCCTCCTCACCGGCGCCCCTGGTCATCATTCCCACTTCACAGATGCCGAAACTGAGGCCAGGCGGTGGGGGAGGTCCGCGGAAGGCCGCTGTGGGGAAAGGGGGCTGGGCCGAGGAGAGAACCTGGTTTCAGGCCTTGAACCCGTGCTTGCCACCACGCCCGCGCTCGCCCTTACCCACTTCCACGCTGCCAAACGAGAGGCGCCCCCAAGTTGGCCCTGGCCACGGCTAAACCGGGCTTGCAGACAGGCGCGGGTCCTCTCCCACCGCGGGTGCGGGGCTCGAGGCTCCCGGGCGCCCGACACCTGCCCGGATTCCGGGTGCTCCAGCTCCGCCGCGCTCTGGCTGCGGACGGGCTCCGGGGGCCGAGATGGTGATGGGGGCGCCGAGAGGGCCAGGGTGAAGACGCGAGCCAGGCTGGGGGGTGCAGGGCAGGGCGCTGGCCGGGCCGGGAGAAGATGCGGGCCCGTCCCCCGCCCCCGGATACCGCACGCTTCCATATAGAGGGGCCGGCCCCCTCCCCGGCCCCGCGCAGCGGGTTCGCGCAGCGCGCAGTGGCGGCGGAGGGGCCCGGGTCCCAGGTGCGCCTCGGAGCGGCCCTGGAGCGCGGGGGGCGGGGAGGCGGGGGGGGGGAGTGCCGAGGCCCCGCGCCCCCGCCTCCCCGCCCCCGGCCCGAGCGGCCGTCATCGCGGGCGGGCGGCGCTGTGCCCGGGTGCGGCTCTTCGCCGGCGGCGGCAGCGGCGTGGCCGGGAGGTGCGGGACTCCGTGCGGGCGGGACGCGGGGCGCTGCTCGCAGGAGCCGCCAGGTGGGCGCCGGTCGGACCGCGGCCGCCGTCACTCCCCATCTCTCGTCCCGGGGCCCCGACTCTGCGCGTTCCCTCCTTGGGACTTGGACTCTGCGCCCGAGGTCGCTCCGCCGCCTGGGGTGCGGCCTCCCGGAGCGCTCGGGGTCTCTGCCCGCGGTCCCCGCCGCGCCCTCTCCGCCCGACGTCTGGCACTCGGCGGCGAGGGCAGCTCCTCCCGTTGCCGTCGCGCCGCGGGCTTTGTCTCTCCGGCCCGGGGCCGGGCGGCTCGGCGCTCTCGGGCTGTCTTGTCCCGGGCGCCGTCGGGCTGCGCGCTTCTCGCCAAGGGCCCCTGTGCGGGTCCGGCTCTGCGGGGCCGCGCCTCGGCCCTCGGGCTCTCGCTTCGCCGTGGTCCGCGCGCCCCCAGGCCCCGACCCTCCTGCTGGGTGCCTCTGTGTCTCCAGGTTTCTCCCAGCGTCTCTGTTCTCTCAGCGTCTCTGTCTGGTGACTGTCGCCGCGTCTCGGACCCTGCGCCTGTCTCTCCAGGTTTTTCCTTTCTGTTCCCTTCTCGCCAGCCCTCCCTTGGTCTTGTGTCTCCATCAGGTCCCGTGCCTCGGCGACCCCGTGTCCCCGTGGTCGCCCCCGGGTTGGCTCGGGCACCGCGCGGCTGGGGGGCTCGCTCTGCCAAGCCGGGGCGTCTGCCTCTCTCCCAGCCTCGTCTCTGCCTCCTCGGCTCCTCGGAACGCTCCAGGGGCCCTGCGCCCCCACTCCGCCGGGGTTCCTCGGCGTCTCCGCCCGCGCCCGCGCCCGCGCCCGAACCCTCTCGTTTTCTCAGAATCCGGGTTTTGTTCTCAGACAAACGAATCCGGATCGAAGCGCATCGAATCCGAGGGTCCCAGATCGGGCGCGGCGGGGACCGCGCGGGAGGAGTCTCCAGGAGGGGCAGCGACGAGGGCCGAGCGCCGGCCAGGGCCAGCCGGGCACGGGCACGGGGACGCAGCTCCCGCCCCGCTGCAGGCTGCCTGGGGCGCCCCGGGGCAGAGCGCGACCGACCCGCTCGGAGGGCTCGTGGGGGCGGCGGCCGCGGGGTGCGGGGTCGGCCCAGCGCCCGCAGTGACCCGCTCCTCCCTCCGCAGGCGGACGCGGCGGGCATGGACTATTCGTACGACGAGGACCTGGACGAGCTGTGCCCCGTGTGCGGGGACAAGGTGTCCGGCTACCACTACGGGCTGCTCACGTGCGAGAGCTGCAAGGTGAGGCGGGCCGGGGTCCCGGGAGCGGCGGGGGAGCGGGAGCGGGCGGCACCCCGGGGGCCCGCGCTCACTCCCCTGTCCCGCAGGGCTTCTTCAAACGCACGGTGCAGAACAACAAGCACTACACGTGCACCGAGAGCCGGAGCTGCAAGATCGACAAGACGCAGCGCAAGCGCTGTCCCTTCTGCCGCTTCCAGAAGTGCCTGACGGTGGGGATGCGCCTGGAAGGTGCGCGCCCGCGGGCTTCGGGCCCGACTCCCGCGGCCGAGCAGTGGGGGTGGGGTGGCGCTGAGCGAGGGCCCGAGGGGCAGCCCCACTGCCGGGTGGTGTGGGCCCCGGGCCTGCGGAGGGCCAGCCTAGCGGCTGCAGAGCCGCCCACCTCCTACCCCCACCGCGGGTACCCAGCACCAAGGCTTTCATGGCCTCGGCCAGTTCTCCTCCTGGTGCCCCCACTAATGGGCCAGCTGGCATCAGGCAGGTTCCTAACCTCTCTAAGCTGCCCCATCTGGAAAATGGGCTTACAGTAGCAGGACCCACCGCCCACCCCTCTACCCCCAGGTCTAGTGTTAGGATTGGCCTGCTTCACAGTGACGTGAGGACCAGCCCGGCAGGCGGTACCTGGCCATCGCCAGTATTGTCATCATGGTCCTTTCTGCTGTTCTCTGCCCACGGTCCCTGGCCAGCCCATCTTTTGTCCGTCCAGCCATCTGCAGCGTCACCCAGTCCTTTCACTGCGCAGGAGACATTCCTCCCCCACGTGCTCTCAGCCAGGCCCTGGGAGGGCTGGGAGTGGGGAGTGATTGCCGGCGGGGGACCCAGGCCCGCCTCGTCTGCCTGCCCGCAGCCCCCGCTCTCAGTGTAGGGACTGGAGCTCTCTCGGCTTGCACCCCGCTGGCCCCAGCCGGGCCGTGCGCCGAGCAGGCAGCTGTTGGCTAAAGCTTTAGAACGGCATAGAAGGCTCCCGGGGCTCGAGAGCTGCAGCCCACACGGCCTGCCACCTAGAGGAGGGGTCCCGGACGGGAGGGGGCTGTCCTGCCCTGTCCCCCAGCCCACATCCTAGCTCCAGGTCCCGGGGGAGCGGGACCCTGCTGTCTGCTCCCACACCACCATCCCTGCTCGTCCCCCCACTCTCTTCCTTCTCCCCGGGCTCAGGGTGGGGTCCTGTTTGCACAGGGGCAGGGGCCACACTCCAACTGCAGAGATGCACCTGTTGGGTCTGGCTGGTGACACATTCTTGGCCAGCCCAAGGAACATCTGGTCAGCAAGAGAGGTCCCCTCCCCCAGCACAGAGCCCCAGCGAGCCCTAAAGTCAGCTTCTGATTGGAAGGCAATGTGTGAGGCAAGAGGGCTTCAGTCAGTCCAGCTTCTGGTCGCCGAGTACCCGGATGTGAACAAGGCTAACTGGGGCCCCTTCCTGTTGCCATCTCCCTGCCAGGCCCTGTGCTGGGCACCAGAGCCCAGAGCCAAGCACCCAGGAGCTCTCGGCCTGTGGCACAGGGTACAATACACTCAGTGTGAAAAGGTTGGGCAAGGGGCAGGCTATCAGGGACAGTAGGTTCCGTGTGGGGGTGAATCCCGGAATACTTCCTGGAGATGCCTGGTTAAGGAGACTGACGTTGCTGGTGTGTAGTGAGTGTGGCAGTGACCTAGTGTGCTCTGTGAGCCCAGGGTCTGTGGTAAGGGCAGTGGAAGGTGGTGTGGAGGCTGAGCCTGACCCTCTGCCCCTGCCCACAGCTGTGCGCGCCGACCGCATGCGGGGCGGCCGGAACAAGTTTGGGCCCATGTACAAGCGGGACCGGGCTCTGAAGCAGCAGAAGAAGGCGCAGATTCGAGCCAATGGCTTCAAGCTGGAGACAGGGCCCCCGATGGGGGTGCCTCCCCCTCCCCCGCCCCCCCCGGACTACATGCTGCCCCCCAACCTGCACGCATCGGAGCCCAAGGGCCTGGCCCCGGGTCCGCCCGCTGGGCCACTGGGCGACTTTGGGGCCCCGGCACTGCCCATGGCCGTGCCCGGGGCCCACGGGCCACTGGCCGGCTACCTCTACCCCAGCTTCCCTGGCCGCGCCATCAAGTCCGAATACCCGGAGCCTTATGCCAGTCCCCCACAGCCTGGGCCGCCCTACAACTACCCGGAGCCCTTCTCCGGGGGCCCTGGGGTGCCCGAGCTCATCCTGCAGCTGCTGCAGCTGGAGCCAGACGAGGACCAGGTGCGCGCGCGCATCGTGGGCTGCCTGCAGGACCCGGCCAAGGGCCGCCCGGAGCAGCCCGCGCCCTTCGGCCTCCTGTGCAGGATGGCGGACCAGACCTTCATCTCCATCGTGGACTGGGCGCGCAGGTGCATGGTCTTCAAGGAGCTCGAGGTGAGTCCCCTCTCCCTCCGGGGCCGCCCCGCCCAGTGGCTTCAGGCGGTCTGGGGGCAGGGCGGCCGCGCCAGCCCCCACTGCCTCCCTCTCCTCTGTCTCTGATGGCCTCTGCCTCCCCAGCCCCTTCTGTCTCTGCTTCTCTATTCCCCTGTCTGGGTCACTCACAGCGTTTCTGTCTCCTCCTCTGAGACCCTGGGCTCCCTCGAAGGACCACGTGAGTCCCTGGGACGCAGTCTTGTTCCCAAGAGGCCAGCCCATCGTGTCCTCAAATGCCAGTACCTCTGAGCTTGGGCTGTGCGTGGGTCTTTCCCCTTCTGCCTGTGCATCGCGTGTGTATGATGGAGGTATGTGTTGGCGTGCGTGTGTGCGTGTGTGTGTGTGTATGCAGGGGAGCTAGGCAGGAGAGGAAGAGGGGGATTCCAGGGCTGCCACAGATCCCAGACAACCTCGCCTTCCTCTGTGGACTTCTCTCCCCTCAGTTGAGGTAGCTGGGGCTAAAGGAAGCAGAAACGCAGCAGGAGAAACCGAGGCCAGACATAGGGAAGGACTTCCCAGTCATTGGCCTCAGCGTGTGAAGGGCCTGAGGCCCCCCTCGTGCCTTGGCTCCTCTTGAGCCTCCCCAGAGGCCCCTCGAGCCTGTTCAAGGCTCATCCCCCTCCTTTAGCCCCGGCCTTTGGGGGCTGCTCTTCCCAGACTGGCCCTCCTGACTGCTCTGGGGCTGACCGTAAGTAGCAGGGCCTGTTGCCTTCCGTGCTGGGGCCACGGCAGCCTTGAGCGGCATTGTCAGCACTGACGCCATTCAGGCCCGGGCTTCCTCCAGGGCCATGTGGCCGGATGGGCCCGGGGCACTGCCTGCCCCACTGGCATGGAGGGGAAACATGGTGGGGCGTGGGCACCGTGCATGCAGGGGGCAGCAGGAGGCTGGGCCTGGGCTGACCCAGGCCTGCGCCGAGGCCAGCTGCTCTCTCCGGCCCCTCTGGGCTGGCCTCCTGCAGGGGTGAGGGGCAGGGCCTTGGATGCTCTCACCTGCTGTCACCTGTGGCTAGAGGCCCTGGCAGGGACATGGAGCTTAAGTCCTTCAGACTTCCCATGAGCCCCCTGTGCAGAGGGGGAGGAGCAGAACATTCCCAGCCTTCCAGAACCCTGGATCCAGGGGCGGGGCACTTCCTCTGGCCGCCTTCCTGCTCTCCGGGGGCTTGCACGCAGGATGGGAGGGGCTTTTGTCCCAGCTCCGCTGAGTGTTTTTTCCTGCTTCTGGCTTCTCTGTGGTCCAAACCTTCCTGCTTCCCCTCCCCAGAGCCTCTGAGCAGAGCCCAGGATGCACCCTGCCACCCCCACGTTGGTAAAGGACCCTTGCAGACAAGCACCAGCCCAGCACCTCGAACCTCACCTGTTGGCCATGTGGGGAGGGGTGCTGGGCTGGATCTGATTGCAAAGTTCGGGACGAGGCGGTAGAAAACCGGGGACAGGACTGAGTGGCCCTGTTGCCCCTCTGGGCTGGCCGTCCAGCGCCCCACCTCCGGGTGGACCTCATCTCCGGGTGGACCCTCCCAGGACAGAAGGCAGGATTCTCTGGCTCTGAGGGTGGGGCAGCCCTGGGGCTGGGCACTGGGAACGTCAAGGAGACATGTGCGGGCCCCCAGGGGACCAAGGGAGCCAGCGGGGCAGCCAGTGGCACTCCAGGCAGCGGGAGCAGCCTAGGCTGACGTCACCTCGTGTGTGCAAGGATTTCTGGGTGCTTCACGAAGCCCAGCTTCCACCAGGAGTGGGTCCGTCGGTGTGGGGGATGGTCAGCCTGCTGGGGCTGGGTGGGGAGGGTCTCGCTCCCACCACCCAGGCTGTGGCCTCCTGCGGCTCATGCAGAGGCTGGGGGCTCAGCTGCATGGTCAGCCTGCCCGCAGCCCAGAGGCGTCTGACTCAGCACCAAGTTTGTTTTTTTTTTTTAAAGATTTACTTATTTATTTTTATTTGAAAGGCACAGTTATTGGTGTTGGGGGGCAGAGAGAGAGAGAGATCTGTCTGCTGGTTCACTCCCCAAATGGCTGCAACAGCCACAGAAGGGCCATGCTGAAGCCAGGAGCTTCTTCTGGGTCTCCCGTGTGGGTGCAGGGGCCCAAGGACTTGGGCCATCCTCCACTGCTGTCCCAGGTGCATTAGCAGGGAGCTGGATGGGAAGTGGAGCAGCCGGGACTTGAACCAGAGCCCATATGGGATGCCGGCGCTGCAGGCAGCTGCTTAACCCACCATGACATGGCGCCGCTGCCCCTCCCGACCCGACACCAGGGCCCTCGTTCCCCAGTCAGAGGCCATCCCCGTGTCTCCCCTTCCGTCGCACACAGTCACCGCCTTTTAGATCTGTCGCTGGCACAGCAGCGAAGGACCAGCGGCACCACGGCCTGCCAGTGGGAAGTGACTTCACTCCCTGCCCCTGGGTTTCCTCATCTATGGATGGGAGGCGTTCAAGTAGTGCCCACACCTGGGGGCGTGGTAAGGCTTGGTGAGCTCAGACGGTGAGGGAGTGGCGCGGGGCCGGTACACGCGCGAGTCCAGTGCCTGGGGCCGTGCCGCCTCCCTCTCTGCTCCCCACAGCCGCCCCGTGTTCCCTAGCCAGGCTTGTGGCGGCCCGGGCAGGAAGAGCAGGCTGTCCAGAGCCCCACAGTGTGGCTGCTTCCTGAGCAGGACACCTTGGAGGGGGCCCCCAGGGGCCTGATAACCCACGGTGACGTCAGTTCCCCTCCCCAGCCCGGCTCCGAGGCCCCAGGGGAACGGATTGACTCGCTTAGCTAGATGGCTTCACTGTCAGTCCCGGGTGACAAATGACGGCCCGGCGACCACTCGGCCGGGACAGCACCATGGCCAGCCCGCGGCGGGTCAGCCCCCAGAGAGTTACGGCACCCGCTGGCCTTCGGCCCGGGGCCCAGGCGGGGGCCTGCGGGCAGGGAGGTCAAGCGGCACCCATAAATACCCCCGCGCCCCGGCGGGCTGCCCCGTGTCAAGGCTCTAGGGAGATTTGTGGCCGCTCAGTCAGACGTGGGGGCGAGGGGGGGCCTGGCTGGCAGGGGCCCCGGGCCCCCCGCTGCACACGTCCTTGTTCCCCGGAAGGCCTAGGTAGAGGAGGGTGGAGCTTTGGTTTAGGGAGAAGTCTGGGCGGTGAAAGGCACCCTCTTGGGTTAAGTGGGCCTCTCAGACACCTGCTTTCTCGCTCAGAGGAGCTACAGCCACGGCTTGGGTTTGCTTTTAAATAAAGGGTGTGTGTGTGTGTGTGTGTGAGAGAGAGAGAGAGAGAGAGAGAGAGAGAGAGCGCACCGTGTGCATGCGTGTGCTCGTGCATGGCACTGTTTGGGGGTCTGGTGTCTTGATGTGTCCGTCTGTCCATCCAGCGTCGGAGGTGGGTGCCAAGTCCGGCAGGAAAGGGCTCGGCCACAGGGTCGGGGGAGCGGGGCTGGCGCAGCCCCCAGCCCCCTGCCAGTGGCGGCGCGTGTGCCTTCCTTTCCTTAACCAGAGCGGGAGGAAATTTCACAGAGCAGGAAACGAGGGTGGAGAAGGACTTGAACGCGGGGCATGGCGCCAGCGCCCGCACCACCACCACGTGGCATCTCTGTGGCCTGCTCCCCGGGCAGCCCCACCGCATGGGCTGCCCCCTCCGCAGCCAGAAGTCTGGGCACAGACTCTGCTCCCAGGGCTGGGACAGTCGGGTCACCGTGACCCCCTCTGTAGCTCAGCTGCCTTATCTCCTAATTCTCCCCTTTATCTCGTGTCTTCCACCCCAGCCCCCTTGTTCCTTCAGTCCTGGCCCACAGCCTCCGGCTGGGTTGCCCAGGGTGAGCCTGAGTTTTCCTGCAGGCACCCTCCTACCTGGGGCCTCCTCCCGGAGACAGGAGGAGGGGCAGGTGAGCAGAGCCGGCTCTCTCTGTGTTCCCTTCGAGCCTCAGTGTGCTTATCTGGAACATGGGCAGAATGCCGATGGGACGCCGGTGAGACGTCCTGAGCTGTGCCAGAGACGCGGCCTGCTCACAGCGTGCCCCGAGCCCGCCTCCCTCCTTGGACACTGACGGGGAGACCAGCCGGGGCATAGCAGGGGCTTGTGCCTGGGAGAGAGCAGGAGGGATGCCTCTGGGGTCCAGGGCTGGCGGGGGCTGAGCCTGGGGGTCCCCCCGGGGATGGTTTCCAGGTGGAGGGAGGTGTGTGGGCTGCTGACGCTGAGATGGGGTGGGGAAGGGAGCGGGAGGCAGTGACCGCAGGGCGGGCGCTGGGCAGGGGTGGTGGGCGAGCCTGCAGGAGCCGGCTGTCCAACTGCTCGCTTGCTCCTTGTCGCTCCCCCCTCTCTGCCTGGGGACAGAGGCTGCAGAGAGGAGGGGAGCGGGGGCTGCTCCCCCTGGGGGACAGGACCTCCCTTGGGCCCCGCCTCAGCAGGCGCTTCTCTGATCTCAGCGTGAGTCTTAGGGAGCACAAATTTGTCCATCAGCCACTCGCTGGCCTTCTGCTAGGGGCCTGGCAATGCGCCAGATGCCGGTCCTACCTCCCCTTGCCTCATGGGTCCCCGGGAAGGCCAGGGTATATTCCAGATGCCCGGGCTCGGAGAGGGCTACGTGGAGGCGGCAGGAGCCTACAGGAGACCGGGGCTGGCGGAGGGGCCTGCGCTGCCTCCACACCTGGCCGTTAGGAGTGCTGGTGGGAACCAGATGGAGCTGAGTCTGTGGGCAGGTTACTTGACTCCTTGTGCCCGGTTTCTTCTCACCATGACGTAACAGCTCTAGTGGCCCCCCGGACCTGGGACATGCAGGGGTCATGGTCCGGTTTACCACCCAGGCTGGTGCCCCGGCAGCCCCTGCGGTGCAGCCCCGGGGCCGAGACGCCGTGGCTGCCGAGAGGGGCTGGGTCTGGACTGCGTGCCCAGTGGGCTGCTCATCGTCCTGGAGACTGTGTGCGTGGCTTGGGCCTGGCTCCGCCTCTGGGTGACCCCAGGAGAATCCCTCACCCGCTCCGGGAGGCAGATTTTGTTTATTTGTTGTTGTTGTTTAAAGATTTATTTATTTGAAAGGCAGCATGACACAGAAAGAGAGAGTGTGAGAGAGCGAGAGATGGAGAGAGTTTCCATCTGCTGGTGCTCTGCCCAAATGGTCACAATGGCCGGGGCTGGGCCAGTCTGAGGCCAGGAGCCAGGAGCTCCATCCAGGTCTCCCAAGTGGGTGGCAGGGGCCCAAGCCCTTGGGCCATCCTCCGCTGCGTTTCCAGAAGCATTTAACAGAGAGCTAGTTCACAAGGGGAGCACCTGGGACTCGAACTGGCGCTCTGATATGCGATGCCAGTGTTACAAGAGACGGCTTAACCCGCCGTGCCTCAGCGCTGGCCCCGGGGCAGCTTCTTTACCTGAAAAAGAAACGGGGGCCAGGGCCTGGGCTTCCTGACTCTAGTTTCACACGGTTCTCAGGCCCGTGTGCCACTGTCAAGGGCATCACTCTGGCTGGGCTGCCGTGCGGGAGGACATCCCGGCGGCTGGCCCTGCCCTGTGCCCGGGGTCTGGGCGTCGGGAAGCTGCCCGTGGTGCTGTTGTGTTCTGGCTGCAGGTCAGACCATCGCCACCCACAGCCAGCAGGTCCTCCTTTCTTGCCGGGGCCTGGCTCCTGCCCTTCCCGGGCTCTTTTCTGAGTAGCTGAGGCTGCCCGGGGGCTGACCCCAAGCCCATCACGGACGGCATCCCACCTGGCATCGGAAGGGGGCCTTCCCAGAGCACCCCCGTGGCCACCAGCCGCTGACATTTACTGGGTGCTAACTTTGTGCCTGGCCAGCGAAGTGCTGTCCATTTGACAGATGAGAATGTGGAGGCACAGGAAAGTTCTGGAACTTGTAAAAGGCAGAGGCGGGGCCCCGCCCCACTTGGATGACCTCACAGGGGGGCAAATGGGGTTGCACGCCCCATGACCTCTGACCCGAGGGTTGGGGGCGGTGGGGGGGGGCAGGCCTGGCCCTGGCTGGATGGCAGAGCCCGCGTGCGGCTTCCTTGCAGGTGGCCGACCAGATGACCCTGCTGCAGAACTGCTGGAGTGAGCTGCTGGTGTTCGACCACATCTACCGCCAGATCCAGTACGGCAAGGAGGGCAGCATCCTGCTGGTCACCGGGCAGGAGGTGACCGCCCCGGCCCTGGCCTGGAGGGGAGCAGTGGGGGGCAGGGGGTGATCGGAGAGGCTCTCCGAGGGCGTGGCAGGGCACTGGGGTGTGGCAGGATCCGTGGGAAAGAAGGAAGGTGCCAGGGGGCTCAGGGAGGGGCGTCCGGAGCGGCAGAGCCTCCGGGCGCTGTTGCGGGGGACGGGGCAGAGGTGAGGCTCCCCGGGCCGCCGGCACGGGACTCATGGGCGAGACCTCCCAGGCCCTAAATCCTGACTGAGTGATCGCGTGCATGAGAGTCGGAATGAACGGGCAGAGGACTCTACAGAGCTCAGAATTTGCCTTTTGCAGCGGGACAACAGGGCTGGGAGCAGGGGGGTGTTCACAGGAGGGATGCAGCCGGGGGTGGTGAGGGCAGCTGGGGCCTGGCGGGAGCGCCTTCAGGGAGGAGTGGGGAGGAGGAGGGGGAGGTGAGGGCTCAGCCCGGGGGTGGGAGCATCGCTCCTGGAGTGGACATGAGGGGGGCAGCAGGCTCCGTGGGTGCTGGCGGGCAGGGCGGTTGGGGACCGAGGCTCTGCTCCCCCCACCTGCTGCCCCCCAGCCCTTCTGTCCTCATTCTTAGTTCCCACCCTGCTGACTCGGACCAGCAGGGGGACGGGGAATGCTGGCCCCAGGGGGTGACCCGGGGCCGGGGTGTCCCTGTGGGTAGGTGTGGACCACGTCGCTGTGAACACACAGGGGCGTGGGTGTGTCTGCATTACTCAGTGTGATCAGAATGTGTGTGTGTGTGTGTGCACGAGTGGACCCTGTGAACACGCTGGCGTGGCCTGTGTGTGTGAGCGTGGCCACCCTGGGTGACCTGTGGACGTGCCCGTGTGTCCCTAGCCACACCTGCTCTTCCCCTGCCGCCTACCCCCAGCCTGAGGTGGCACTCGCTGCAGGGGGCTGCACCACTTGGCACGTCTGTGCTGGTGGGGGGGCTTTACTATAGGGGCCCTGCAGGCACCCCGCTCAGCTCCCAGGTCGGGGCCCGCCTGACCCGCCTGGCTCCGCCCATCCGTGCCCTCTCCCCTAAATCCCAGATGGGGGCTTCACGCCCTGTGTCCTACAGCCCATGTCTTCGCCTGACCGGGGCCCTCTGGCCTGCGCAGGTGGAGCTGAGCACGGTGGCCGCGCAGGCGGGCTCCCTGCTGCACAGCCTGGTGCTGCGGGCGCAGGAGCTGGTGCTGCAGCTGCACGCGCTGCAGTTGGACCGCCAGGAGTTCGTCTGCCTCAAGTTCCTCATCCTCTTCAGCCTGGGTGAGTGGGGCCCCGGGGGCAGGGGGCGGTGGCCAGGTGGGGAGGCCCAGCAAAGTGGCCAGGACAGGCCCGGGCGGGGCAGGAACCCCTCCCCGTGGCCGAGCGTGTGCCTGGCTCCTGACATGGGGGCTGCTTCCCCTCTGGAGCGGGGCTTCTCCATCGGGATATAAAGCAGGAAGATGCCCCCGTTGTGGGGCGAGGACCCCTTCTGAGGATGTGGGAGGTGCCTGGCTCCCACCCCGCCCCCCGCAGGAAAAGCCACGGAGTTAGGGCTTTCTGTCCTCGGCTCCCGCCCTGCACACCTGGTTTTTCTTAATTCCCTATCCATCGAGGCCCAGGTTCTGACCTGGAGCTCTTTCGGGCCCAGACCCATTTGCCCATTCGTTGGCTCATCCCATAAACATTTGCTGAGTGTGCGCTCTGCGAGGTGCCGGGGACATGCCAGGAACAGAGGGGACCCCAAACCCCGCCTGCGGGCTGCTTCTGTAGGAGAAAAAGCGATCGGTGTGTGTCCGGCCAGTAGGACCTAGTGGGACTGACGCGGGCCAGGGCAGAGCGTGCGCCCAGCCCGGCCCCAGAGGCTCAGCCTGCATCCTGGGCTCCCAGGAGCCAGCAAAATAGCCCTGCTGCCCGCCCCCCCATGCCCGGCGACGCCCGGCACATGGGCGGGCTCCTCACTTCCAGCAGCTCTCGGTCTGAGAGGGAGATGGGTAGTCCTGGCCGTGAGGGCTGGGCAGAGAGAGGAGGAGGCTCGGGGATCCATCCAGGGCAGGCTTCCTGGAAGAGGGACATCTGAGCAGGGTCTTGGAGGACGAGTAGGAGTTTGTAGGCGGGATGGAAGGATGTGGCAGGGGTTGAGCTTGGCGCCCTGTGGGGAGGGGCAGTTTCTGTGGTGGTCGGTGTGACAGCTGCAGTCCAGCAGGGGTGTGCCTGCCAGAGGGGGCTGATGAGTGAAATTGGGGCGCCACGTGTCCAGGCGGCGGTGGGGGCGTCTGGGAGCAGTGGTCTGGGTCTCCCGACTGCCGGGCAGGCTGGCAGCCAGGGGGCGTCTGCTCCTCTCAGGACAGCAGCGGGGCCCTGCAGCAACGGGGCATGGAGTTAGGAGTGGCCTGCGGTTCTCGGATGCAAGCAGAGGCCAGGCCAGGCTGTGGCAGCTCCCTGGCCTCTGCCTCCGGCTGACCCTCCCCCTCCCTTGTTTCTGAGAGCTGAAGGGGCTGGGGCTGCGTTATGGGGGTGGGGCCGAGGAGCACGGGCTTGTCTGTGTCCGGCTCTGGATGCACGTGGCCGTGCGCATGCTGTGTGTGCAAACGTGGACTTCTGCGTGACGCTTGCTTTCTGTGTGCCGTGTCGTGTGAAGAGTGCAGGTGACGGAGTGACCGGGAGGTGTGGGGACACAAGGGCTCGGAAGCATGGGCAGAGATGGGAGACAGAGCCGGAGTGTGGGCTCCTGGGGGTCAGCAGTCGACAAGGTGACAGTTCTTGACCTCGCTGCCATTACGAAGGCACCAAGGGGGTGCCCCTAAAGAGCCGGACACAGTCTCAGCCCCCAGCCCCTCTTCCCACGTAAGCTCCAGGCGCTCGGGGCTGCCAACAGCTCGGCTCTGGCCGCCACCCATGGTCAGCCCCAGACTCCTCCTCCTTGTGCTAGGGTCAGACAGCAAACCTGGGCGCACCCTGCTTTTTTTTTTTTTTTTTTTTTTTTTTTTTTTTTTTTTGACAGGCAGAGTTAGACAGTGAGAGACAGAGAGAAAGGTCTTCCTTCCGTTGGTTCACCCCCCAAATGGCCGCTATGGCTGGTGCACTGCGCCGATCTGAAGCCAGGAGCCAGGTGCTTCCTCCTGGTCTCCCATGCGCGTGCAGGGCCCAAGGACTTGGGCCATCCTCCACTGCCCTCCTGGACCACAGCAGAGAGCTGGACTGGAACAGGAGCAACCAGGACAGAATCCAGTGCCCCAACCGGGACTAGAACCCATGGTGCGGGCGCCGCAGGCAGAGGATTAGCCTAGTGAGCCCTGGCGCCGGCCCCACCCTGCTTTTTGGTTCCCAATGGGTGTGGCCAGCCGCAGACCAGGCGGTCCCAGCTCCTCCTTTACACCAATCTTCATCCCATTTTCTTTTCTTTCTTTATTTGGGAGGCAAAGTTACAGACAGAGAGAGGTAGAGGCAGAGAGAGAGGTCTTTTATCCGCTGGTCCACTCCCTAAACAGCTACAACAGCCAGAGCTAAGCCCATCAGAAGCCAGGAGCCAGGAGCTTCCTCCGGGTCTCCCATGCAGGTGCAGGGGCCCAAGGACTTGGGCCATCTTCTGCAGCTTTCCCAGATGCATTACCAGAGAGCTGGATGGGAAGTGGAGCAGCCGGGACTTGAACCGGCACCCATATGGGATGCTGGTGCTGCAAGCTGGGGCTTTAACCCGCTACACCACAGCACCTTTCATCCCGTTTTCTACTGGGGGTGGCTGAGGCCTGGGAGACTGGACAGAGACTGCAGCGCTTGGCTGCGCAGGCTTCAGGAGGCCATGGGCACACATGTGTGTATACATGGAAGTGTGTGTGCATGCGCAAGTGCCAGGCAGAGGGGGGCAGCGGTTAGGGAGGGACTTGGATTCTCAATCTTGTCTCTGTCTGGCTGTGCGCCTTCTTGCGAGTCCCTCCGGTCTCTGAGCAGTAGAGGGGTCATCACAACACTCACCTAGCTGACGTCACAAGAGAACTGCCCCCCACCCCCACGGTGCAGTTAGCATGCAGGGAGTCACTGGACCCCTCTTGAGCGCCTGCTGTGTGTCTGCTACAGAGCTTAACTCCGGGCACTGGGTCTGGCTGGGCCGGCTGCAGAGGCTAGGGGTCTGGTGAGGCTGGGGCTGTCAGGGGGCAGGAGGGAGGGGCTGGGGGAACCTGGCCCTGCCTCAGGCCGGTTCTAGGGCAGGAGAGGAGCCCAAGAAGTCCTGTATGATTGTGTTGGGTCAAAGACCAGAAACCAGCTCTAGGGAATATCAGGGAAGGCTTCATGGAGGAGAGGCCTCCTTGCTGGCCCTTGCGGAGTGAAGTGAAACAAAGCAAGCAGCGCTGAAGTCATTCCTGGCTAAAAAGTTACGGGGAATCCCGGAAGTTCTGCGTGCTGTGTGGGCGGAGCAGGGGTGCACCGGGAGCCGGTGAGGCAGGCAGGAACTGAGCTGTGCGAGGCCTTGAATGCCAGGCCAAGCGTCTTGAAGGATTTTAGGCAGGGGTAACAGGATCAGATTGACATGTTATCCGGACCCTGCCACCTGCTGGGAAAAGGCTAGGCAGGGGGCATGGAGCCCTGCCAGGGGCCTGACCGGGGGTCCCGGGTGACAGCCCAGAGTCCAGACTGTGGGGCTCCTCCCATGAGCCCACCCAGCCCAGCAGTGCGGGAAGGGAAGCTGGGGCCTGCAGGGCACCGCCCCTGTGCTGCGCTCCCAGCTGGCGCGCCGGGTGCCACCTTCGGGAGGGCGGTACCTCCTGGGTCGGGCAGCCCGAGCTCCCGGCTGACGCCCCCGCCCCTCCCCGTAGCACTCAGCGCCTCCCGCCTCGCCTGCCTCTGCGTAAGGGTGCCATTTGGCGTCTAAATAGCCGTCTCAGGCGGGCGGCACAGAGGCAGGTAAGGAGGTTTAATTAAAATTAGTGCCTCTCCTGGCAATCACGCTGTTTATGAAGATGGGCCCGGCTGGCATTGTTCCGCAGAGGACTTAATCGAAGCTTAATGGATTGACCTAACATTCGATTTCCTGATTCCCATTGAGGCGGCGGCGGCAGCATTCCCTTAAGCGTTTGCAATTTACCCACTGCTCCGCGCCAACAAAAGACGGCCTGAATAGCAGCCCCACTCCAGGGGCCATTGTGCGCGGGGGCGCCTGCCTGAGTCACCGCTATTGGGACAACATTCTTTATGCCTCGCTGGAATGAAAGGATTATTCAAATATTCAATTAAACCGTGAAAAGGGGGCTTTTCTGAGATCCCGGAGCCCCCAGCTCCGCAGAGCTAGCGGGGGCTGCTCGCCGAGGTGGGGGTGCCGGCGCCCAGCCCCCTCCCACCTCCCACTTCCCACCTCCAGGACTGCCGGGAGCCGAGCGGGCTTGGGGGACACAGGCTCAGCTCTGGGTGTCCATCCCCACCCTGCAGGCATTCGGGGCGCAGGTCGCACTCTTGGTCACCCCCTGATGCTGGGGACAGGAGGCTGAGGCTCGGAGCGGGAAGTGACTTGCCCAGGGCCACCCAGCTGGCGATGGAGCTGGGGACTGGAAGCCCTGGCACGTTAGGGGGAGGGGTGGGCTCTCCAGGCTTGCGGGGGTCCTTGCTCCCGAGTCGGAGGCAGGCGAGCAAGCCAGGTGCTCGGGGGACACTGGACATCGGTCATGGCAGAGACTTCCTCTCAGCCTGCTTGGAGACGGGGGCATGGGGAAGAGCCTAGTCCAGGCTGCTGGATTGGGCGGAACTTCCGGTGAGGTCGGGTCCCCCAGGAACCTGCGCCCATGCGGCTGCCCCGCCTCCCCACGCTGCTCGCCGCCCGTGGCAGGAAGATTGCGATAAGGATTCACACCTGGCTTTGGATCCAGGCCCTGGCACCGTTGTCCTGACTCTCTGACCTCGGCCTGTCCTTCCCTGCCTGTCTGGCCGGCTGCGGGGATTGGCCCAGCCAGGTGCCGGTACCTGGTGGGCGCCCAGGATGCTGGGGCCAGACTCTTGGACTGAGGCTGCGGGGTCTCAGTAGCCGGCCTGCAGGGGGCAGAGGGTCTCTGAGAGGCCAGAGGAGTGACCGGGGCGTGGGCTGCCCCTGAAACCCGGCCCTTGCTCCGCACCCGCCCCCCCCCCCGTGCCCCGCCCCGCGTCCCTGGCTAGGTGCAGCCGAGAACAGTAAATCCTGGTAAAGCCAGGCCCCATCTTCCAGCCCCCTCCCACCCCTGCCGCACCGCAGCACCCTGGCCAGTCCCCCCCCACCCCCAGCCCAGCTGCTTCCTCCAGGCCCCTTTCCAGCTTCGAGCCGATCCGATCCGGATCCTTTTGCAGACCCCCAGACTCCTATTATGAATTGTCAGGTGACTTGCCCAGCCCCAGGGAGCAGCAAAGGCCAGGACTGGAATGGGGGTTGACCTTCAGGAAGCCAGGTAGGTGGGGTGACCTCTGAATGTGTCTGGAGCAAGCCAGGATAGGGAGTAGAGCTGCTACGTACAGTTGAACAGGTTGTTCACTGTGCAAGTGCACCTAGGTAGGAAGCGGTAGGGGCTAAAATGCAGCTGTATCTCTGTGGACAAGGGGGCCCTCTTTCTAACTGTCACAAAGGGGGTCTCATGGGCCAGTGGTGAGCCTCAGGAGACGTGGAAGAAAGTGACCCTGGCTCACTTACAGGAGGGAAGAGGAGGGGCGGGGCGGGGGCGGGAGTGGAGGCCAGACCCTGCCATACGCCCTGGGCCCAGCTCGGGTTTCCTTAAATCCGACTTTGGACAACACAGGCCTAGTTAGGCGCGCTGGGGGCGGCCGGGGATCAGGGTTGCCTTGGGCGCCAAGCTGCCCTGGCGCAGTGGGTGTTAAGCAGGGATTAGGGCAAAGGCGCGCTGCACCCGGCCGACTCCCCCGCAGCAGCAGGGCTGGGCGAGATGGGGTTCACCATTGCCCGGGCGGGGTTGAGCTGGGTGTGGGGCTCGGTAGGGAGGAAGCCAGGGTGGGGCCGCAACTCAACCCCATTGCTCCCCGCAGTGGCGGCTGGGATCCAAACCCCATCTTCATCTCTCCAAAGACATCTCGTTCTTGGCCTCTTCACTGGGCCTCGGGCTGGGCCACCCAGGGCCCATCTCCCTCCCCTGCCTTTGCCTTTGCAGAGTTCTGGGTGCCCCCGCTCTGCCTCCTGTGTCTGCTTTGTGTGCGCGCTTGGCTCTGCCTTGCACACCGCATCTGGAACCTTCCCTCTTTGTGTGGTGTTTTCCACGCAGCCCCACACTTTAAAAGATCCGTCCACTGGGGCCGGCACCATATGGGTGCCAGTTCGAGTCCTGGCTGCTCCACTTGCGATCCAGCTCTCTGCTATGGCCTGGGAAAGCAGTAGAAGATGGCCCAAGTCCTTGGGCCCCTGCACCCACGTGGGAGACCCGAAGGAGGCTCCTGGCTCCTGCCCATGTGCTCTGTGCTGTGTCCACTCCATTGCTTCTGACTGCTGCCCAGGGCTCCCCTGGGTGCAGCCAGTTCGTGGCCGCCTCCTTGCCACCTAAACATCGCTGCTGTGATCACCCCCCCGTCCCTGTGCCCCGTGGCCCCGTGGCTGAGCCTCCCTGGGCGCCGGAGCCTCCTCCTTGGTCACGGGCCAGGCCCAAGAGTGCCCTGTGTCCCCGTGTCCTGTAGGACAGCGCCACCAGTCCTCACACCTCATGGCTGTGAGCTGAGACCTCCGGTCACTGACAGGGTCACCCCACTCAGGCTGGTTCTGCCGACAGCGACGGCCGTGGGGAGGATGGTGCCAAGATGGTTTTGACCATGGAGATGATGGGACGGTGTTAGTTCGATGGTGGCCGTGGCGGGAGTCGGAGAACAGTGACAGCTACCGAGCATGCGCTGTGCGGGGCGCTGGTCTCCTAAGCACCCCCCGCCCGCCGACACCCTAGCGCCTCACAGCCACCTTGCAAAGTCGGGACTCCTGGTGCGGGTGGCGGGGACCTGGCACGGCTGTGGCTGTGACAACCGCGTTTGCTGTTGGTGGCGGCTCAGCGTGGCTGCGGCGGCAGTGGCGGCCATGTCCGTCACGGAGGGCGGTGGCGGCGGTGGCAGGCGGTGGCGACGCCTGCGTGGTCGGGGAGGGCGGGGCAGGTGGCGCCGGTGCCAGCCAGTGACGGCGCTCCTCCCCTCGCAGACGTAAAGCTGCTGAACAACCACAGCCTGGTGAAAGACGCGCAGGAGAAGGCCAACGCCGCGCTGCTGGACTACACCCTGTGCCACTACCCGCACTGCGGGGACAAGTTCCAGCAGCTGCTGCTGTGCCTGGTGGAGGTGCGGGCCCTGAGCATGCAGGCCAAGGAGTACCTGTACCACAAGCACCTGGGCAACGAGATGCCGCGCAACAACCTGCTCATCGAGATGCTGCAGGCCAAGCAGACCTGAGCCCCTCGCCGGCCCCGCCCTCCAGATGGCTGATTTTGTTACGCCGGCCCCAGGAGCCCCGGCCCGGCCCTGGAGCCGCGTGTTTGGGAAGGTGGGGGCGCGTGGGCGGGGCTCTGGAGGTGGCTGCCCACCACCCCCTTCCTCCCCAAATCCCAGCGGCCTGTTCTGGAGTCTCAAGTGCAGGTTTGGGAATCCCCTTGGGGGGCTCAGCAGAGGTCATCCCTTGGCCCTCTTCTGGAAACAGAGACAGGGACAAGTTGCGCATCCCCTGGGGGGAGGGGGGAGTTTCCCCGGATCTTGCACCGGGGAGAACTGAGTTTGCTGAGTGGGCGGGGCGCCTCCCTGCCTGCCCCCTGCCCGCGTGACTTCTGCAGTGGAGAAGCTGGGCACGTGATCTGAACCGTGTCCTGGTCCCTCTGCCCCCAGAGCAGCTGTTTGGTACAGTCCAAGTTCTAGCCCCACCCACAGCGGGCCGGCCCGGGCGCATATTTATCTGCAAGGTTGCAGTCTGCAGGTTTCTGGTGTCTCCTTTTGCCCCTCCCCGGTTTGGTTCGTATTTTCATCTCCTAGACATTCCTTGCAAGGGGTGTGCGATGGAGGGCGGGGCTCAGGTGTGAGGCCTCAGGCTGTGATCAGGTCAGCACCGAGCATGGCCCCAGACTCTCCTAGGGGATCCGCAGCAGGTACCAGCGGTTGTGAGCCCCCACGGGAAGCCAGAGCTGCGTGCCTGCCCCCACCCCGCCACGAGAAGGGCAGGAGCGTGTGGGGGCTCTGAGTCTCTATGGGTGACCCTGGGAGGGCATATGGGTCTTTGGATCAGGGACAGCGTTGGTGAGCCCCTCCCTCACGGCCCTGTCCCCTTGGGTCCCTTGCAACACACCCTCGAAGCTGAGTCCTGGCTCCTGGGCCTCCTTGCCCGAAGGCCCCAGGTGCCTGGGAGCGGCACGGGCTGTCCCGGGCGCCCACCGTCTGCCTTGCTTTCACATTGCTGTCGCAGCTTGTGCTGAGCCTGCCCAGTGCCCTGACACTGGGCACCCCTGCCCCTGCCTCTCTGCGCTCCGCCTCGACCTCCACCTCTGCCCCGTGAAACGCGTGCCCCTGCCAAGGCCAGAGACCCACGGGCCCCGAAACAAGAAGTGCCCTTAAGTCTCCCCAGCCCTGCAGCCCTGGAATAAATTTTACAAGTAGTTTCCAGCCACCTATGCCTATCTGCAGGTCGGGGCCAAAGCAGAGCTGGCCGCCCTGGTGGGTTCCCGGTGGGCAGGACGGAGGGCATGGGGCTGAGGCCGGCTCAGAGCTCCGGGGTTGGGGGCAGCAGGGTGAGGGGACATGGGGCGCTGTTGTCCCTCATCCCTGGGCCCCTGATGTAGCGGCTTTCCAGCTCTTGGCCCCCATCTCCGGCAGAAGGGAGCAGTCACTTAAAGGGCACCTACTGTGTGCCGTCCCTCATCTCACCGTCTGCAGCAGCCCTGTGGGTGGGTGGGGGCTGCACAGGAGCGGAGGAGCCCTGAGCGGGGACCTGGGGGAGCAGGTCCCACCCTGAGCCTGCCTGGCTGCCCAGCACGGGCCCTTTCCTGCGGCTCATCACCGGTCCCTGCCACCCCCACCCCCACTGGGTGGCAGCAGTGAGCCAACTCCTGGTCCGCTGGTGCCTTTGTGCTAATTAGAGAAAGCCCCCCCCCCCCCCATCCACAGCCACAGGGCCCTAGGCACACAGCTCAGCGGGGACTTTGAGGCAAAGACGCACACGTCGCCCTCCTAGGCACCTGCAGACGTGATGCAGGGGACGTGGCTCCTGCTGCAGAGGGACGCCCTGTCATGTAGGGGAGACTCGCTTGATGAGACTACAACTCCACGCAGGGCAGCACAGGTTGCAGAAGGGGCCGGCGTCATGGCGGAGCGGGTTAAGCTGCCACCTGTGTCAGCATCCCACGTGGGCACCAGTTCCAGTCCAGGCTGCTCCACTTATGATCCAGCTCCCTGCCAGTGCGCTTGCGAGAGTAGCAGATGGCCCAGGTGCTTGGGCCCCGTCACCCACGTGGGAGACCTGGATGGAGGTCCTGGCTCCTGGCTTCCTCCTGGTCCAGTCTGGCTCTCTGGCCACTGGGGAGTGAACCAGCAGATGGAAGGTCTCTCTACCTCCCTGTCTATAGCTCTGCCTTTCTAATAGTGATAATAATAAAGATGAGGAAGGGTTGGTTCACCTCTGGGGGTTGGACAACGGGACAGGAAGCCTTCATGGCTTAGGCTATTGGTTGTCCAGACTGGGTTTTGAGAGATGCCCAGGAGCCCCCCGACGACACAGGAGTCAGGGCAGTCCAGGCAGAGGGGTGCGTGGCAGGTGGAGGGGCACTGGAGAACCTCTTGTCTGGAGACTCAAGAGAGTAAGGGGGTGACGGGGCTCAACCCGGCCGCAGCTCCGGACTCCAGCTTCCTGCTAACTTGGGTCCTGGGAGGCAGCAGTAACGGCTCAGGTCACTGGGTTCCTGCTACCCACGTGGGAGACTTGGACTGCATTCCTGGCTTCTGTTTAGGGCGTGAGCCAGCGAATGAGAGCATTTTCTCAAAAAAAAATCATACATATATAATTATATATGTATTATAATATAATAAATTATATTATTATACATATATAATTATAAACCCCAGAGCTGAGGGTTTGGGTGGGGCTATTGAACAAGGAAGCGGGGTGGATGAAGGCCCTACCTCGCCCCCGCAGAGTCCTTGTGATTGATTTGGGGGAGCCCTCGGAAGGCAAGGGGTGGTGGGGGCCACCAGGTGTCCTGCCGGGCTAGCACCTCCTCCTTGCTGCCACTCAGGATCAGCCCTGCACTCCCCTGCACCTGCAGGCGGGGCTCTCGGGTGGCTGAGCTGTTTTCCTGTTGACACCCAGGCCCAGGGGAGCCCTAATGCATCATCACGGCTCCCTCCCGGCCTCCAGAACCCAAAAAGAGCCAGCGCCTTGGAAAAGACTCTGGCCAAGTCGCACATTGGGTGGTGGTCATCCCCCAGCAACAGTCCAGGTGCCTCTGAGCAGTCCACCGGGCTGCTCCCAGCCACACCCACTGCGTCCCCGGCCGCCACCACAGGTCAGGGCGACCCCAGGTCCAAGTCTTGGAGTCGCTCTCTGCCCAGTGTCCTCTGCACATCATGGTGGCACCGTCTCAGGGCGGAAGGGAGAGCTTAGAGCGCCAAGGTAGCCAAGGGCCCAGCACTCCCCTGCACCTGCAGGCTCTGTCTCTCCACCAGAGGCAGAGCAGGTGCTAATAAATGCACCTGCCCTGGAGATGAGGCCCAAAGCCCCCCCCCCCCAAGCTGGCATCTCCTATCCTTCCCAGGCCAGGACACCCCCCCCCCCCACACACACACAGAGGGACCAGAGAGACTCACTGGGACCCATTTATTACCAGAAAGACACACGGTAGGGCATGAGAACGCGGGGCAGGTGGGGACGGACAGGTGGATGGGGCCAGAGCCGTGGATCTGCAAGGGTTGGCGGGAGCAGCAGCCCAGGCCCCCACTCCCAGGAGGAGCAGGGGCAGCTAAGCTGTGAGAGGGGGAGGTCCAGCCGCATTCTCCCTGGGGTTCCCAGGACGCGGTCTCCAGGCCCCGCTGAGTTGGGAGGGGCCAGGAGAAAAGCCCCCAAGGTCTCCGTCTAGAAACCTGCAAGGAAAGTGTGTCCTCTGGGCTGGGCTGGCGGAGAATCGGAGAATCGGCGTGGGGACCCCTGCATGGCGGCGGGGGCTCCGGGAATTGAGGCGGGGGGGGGGCGGGGGGGGTCTTGGGTGGCAAGCCCAGCCCGAGCGCCTCTGCCTGAGCCCCAGTTGCTCCATCCTAAGAACACCTGCGTGGCCGCACGGCCTGGAGGGCTCTCTGGGCTTTCGGAGGAGCGGAGGCGGGCCCCCGCACTTCTCGCTCGGGCCACCCGGGCGGGTTGCGGGGGTTGGAGGGCCGGACCAGGGTGCAGGTCCGCAGGGTGGGGCCGAGGTGGAAGCCGCTCCGTTGCTACGGGCGGCTCTAGCAACGCACCCATTCAGCAGAGACAAAGGCGCTGTCACTTGGCGCAGAGGCGCCGCCAGCGCTCTTGTTCCCGCAGCCACGCTGCGGGGCGGGGGCGGGGGCGGCTGGGGGGAGGGGCCGCTCAGGCCCCACTCGGTCTCCGGCCGGTGCCTGGCCCTGCGCCCTCCCGACCAGCCTGCAGGGGGCGCCCCAGGCCCGTTTTGCAGAAGGGGAAGCTGCGCTCCAAGGCACTGAGGCACCCGGCATGCGTGGCGGCCGGGCCACACAGCCCCGGGTGCAAATGCGTCCGCGCCTCCCTCGCCACGTTACTACCGCTGTGCGACTTGGGGGGGCTCGCCCCTCTGCGGTCCCTGGATCAGAAGCTGCAGATGTCTGGGCTTAGCTCGGAGCCCGGCCCCAGGTGGAGCTCCAGGAACCCGCTTCTTGCCCCTCAAGGGCGGGTTTGAGGCTGCGCCGGGTTGGTTTATGGTTGGGGGAACCATGGAGCCGGCTTAGCTTCCGCGGCTTTGGCCCCGCCCCAGCAGGGTCCCCAGGCTTGCCCAGCTGCCACAGGTCACCGCATCTTGCTTCAGGCCGGGCAGGAAAGCACTTGTTTCTCACGGGTGTGGGAGGCGGCTCAGACCACCAGGCACCAAGACAGGGGCCCTCCGCGGCGGGAGGCTGGGGGGGCACAGGAAGGCAGCACCCCCTCTGGACGGGGTCTCCATCCCTAACTGTGGCCCCTGGGGGGAGCCCCGCCTTTCACGGCTTCTGAAGGAGCCCCATCAGGCCCCACCAAGGGGCACGGTGAGGGGAGGGCCCCTTACACTGTGTCATTCTGCTAGTGGGGCAGACGGGGTGTCCAGGCCCCCAGGGAAGAGGGACCCTTTGAGGTGCCAGCGCTACCTGAAGCCTTGAATGCCGTCAGCTCCACAGCCTAGGGACAGAGAGGGACCATCAGGGGCGGGAGTGGGGAGGGGAGGCCCACTCTTCCCGCTTTCCCAGGGCCCTTGGTGCCCCGCCCCCGGGGTCCTTGGCATTCAGGTGCAGCCAGCAACAATCCCGACATCGACATCGTCAGTCTGGGAACAGATCCCAGGGGATGCCCCCACCCCAGCCCTACCAGAGTCCCTGCGGCTCCCCTGACGCCGCAGGCCACCCCTGCCAGGCCCTTGGCCAAGCCCAGGGGCCACACCCTGTCCGGCCTCACCGGTCTCTCGGGCTCCGCAATGGAGGAGAAGGCTGTGGGGATTCTGGGGCCACGGGTCCCTAGTGGGGGAGAAACCCCGGAGCTGGTGAACTGTGGGGAAACTGAGGCAGGAAGCCCTCTCTCTCTCCCACCCTGGCTACCACGCTATCAAGTACCCTAAGAACCCACTGAAGGTTTACCCAGAGAGGGAGGGCAGCTTGCCTGAGGGCACACAGGAAGGAAGTTGGGACCTCAGACTGGAACCCATTCCACCAGCCCATTCTTCCTGGAGACCCAGAGCAGGTCACCCCGGGCCAGCCCCACCTCTAGCCTGGGCGCCAGGGGCCCTGATCCCTGGTGGAGGCTGTGGGGGACACAGGCCATGGCTAAGTCATGGCCCAAGCCCAAGGCTGCCAGATGTCTTGGGCCTGGGTCTCCCTGTCCCTCAGATGGTCGGATAGGATCTGCCTGTGTGGTGGAGGGGCAGAATGGAGGGAGGGAGGGGCCATACCTCTGAGAGCCACTTGTCTCCGGGGTGGAGCCCAGGCTAAGGGGCTGCCCATTGGAGGGCTGGGCCCCTGGCCGGAGGGGCTGCAGCAGGGCTGAAAGGAGAGGGTGGGGGGCCTGGGGGGGCCTCTTGCCCCTCGGGCCTCGCCTGGCCGCACCGCGAGCGCCTCGGCGGCTGCCTTCTTCCCCATCATCCTCTGCAGGGCGCTGCGCACCTGGGGACCACGTGCAGGTTGGTCTGGGGCCCCCCACTCCCATGGGCCTCCTGCAGTGATGCTCAGATATGGGGGAGCTCCAGCCCTCCCTGCACCCCACCTCCCCACTCACCTCCCCGTTGTAGGCCGAGTAGATCAGGAAGATGTATGGCCCCTAGGGACAAACCCAGCAGATGGGCAGGTGCCGCTTCCTAGGAGCGCCACCTCCCCAGACCCCTCCTTGTGGCTTAGCTTCCTGTCTTGCCTGGAGCCACAGCGCCCCCCAGAGGTCCACAGGCCATGGGCACCCACAGAGATACCCAGAGATGTGCAGACTGAAGGCAAACCCTGTGGTGCGGGGTCTTCCCAGGGGGAGGGCATCGCAAGGCCCGGCAGCCTCTCTGCACCTGCCCCAGCCTCACGGCCTCACAGCCTCAGCGGCCTTCCTGAAGCCCCAAGGCCAAGTCCACGTGCAGGCGCAGGCCCGGGAGTGCCTTCCGACCACGCCTCCGCTGAGCAGCCTTCACCTCTCCGACTCTTCATCTGCACAGTGGGGCCGAGGCCGGTGTGTGCAGGCCCAGGGTGGGAGCTGCGGCAGCGCTGGCTGTCTCCTGCCCACGCGCCCGGTGACCAAGGGGGCCTCGCCACTCACAAAGCGCCATCCCATGCAGGGTCTCCCTCTGCCCTCACAGCAGCCCCGCGGTGGGTGTGTGCACGTGTGGGTGTGCACGCACATGTGGGCTCTTGTCCCTGGGTGCTCACGTGGCATGTAGCTGTTGCCGTCCATGTGTATTGGGTATGTGTGCACCTATGTGTGCATGCACACGTGTGCCCGTGTCTGTGTGTGGAGCCCAGGACGTCTCCGGCTCTGCCTGGGTAATGGAAGAGGCAGCAGCTCCTGCCTTGAGGGTCAGACCGCAGGACCCAGGTCGGGGGCGGGGATTTCTCCAGGCCTCCCAGCCTCCCAGGGCTGACAGCTAGAGCCTATGAGCCCGACTGCTGCCCCGGTGTGTAGGCACCCACAGAAATGAAACCACCTCTCCCAGCCCCCAAGACAGACCCAGGCACCTTCCAGCCCCAGCACCCACCTGTCCTGTTTTTCTGCCTCTGCATCACCTAAACAAAGGCATCTTTCCAAACTCCCACCCAACCGTACCAGCACCTGCCTAACACCCTCTATAGCTCCCGGGTACCTCTGGGACAAAGTCTGAGCTCCTTGCAACAGCTCTGGGGCGCCCGCACGCTCTGGGCTCCACACCTGCTCCTGCCCCATTTCTCACAGGCCTTCCCTCTCCACATCTCCCCTCCATTTGATCCCATCACACTCCTCTGGCTTAAAACATTCTCCTTCCTCTCCCCATGCAGCCGTCAGCTCTTAGCGCTTGGAAGTGCCCGTTCTGCCTCCCGTGAGTGAATTCCCTGCCCCCACGCCGCCCTGACCCTGCCCTGGTGGGTAAGCCTTGACGGCACCGCCCTTGTGTGGTTTCGGGGTCTGTCCCCTGCGCAGCCGAGCTCTCCAAAGGTGGCCGCACTTGGGTTATGGCTCGTCCCAGCCCTCAGACTCACGCAGGAGTTGAATCCCCAGCACCCGGAAGTTCATGGTTTGAAGAAGACGTGAACTCCGTGTGACTCTGGAGTTGAGAGCGGGGCCTTTGCAAAATGATTGGGGTTCGATAAGGTCATGAGAGAGCTCCCCGGGGCCCAATCCTGGTGCAGTGAGAAAGCGGCAAGAGACCAGACGGATGCCCGCGCTGCCTGTCTCCCACGATGTGCAGCCTGCATGGCCTGCGACAGAAGCCAGCGCCCGCAGGGACCCTGTGAGCTTGCACCCGCAGAACCTGCAGTCTTTCAACGCCAGCCTGCCTCGGCCGCTTCGTACAAGGATGGCCGCATCCGTGGCTCCTCTGACCCTGGGCAGGCAGGGCAGCCCCCAGCGGGCAGAGGAGGGGCCGGGCAGAGTGTGCTGAGCCACGGATGGCTCCTTGTGTTCCGGGGACTGAGCCCCCACGCGTGTTACCCCAGTTGAACGCCACTTGATCCCACGAGGTGGGTGGCAATCTGATCCCCTATATTTAGACCTGGAAGCTGAGGCTTGGCCCGGTGTGTCCTGGTCTCAGCAGGGCAAGCGGGAGGCATAGCTGGTTATGGAAATGAGGCTTTGCTCTCCCTCTGCAAAACCCAGTGCAGGCTTTGGGAGGCAAGAAGTCAGTGGAGCCACTCCCAGCCCCTGTAGCCCCGGGCCTGCTGCCCCCTGCTGCCCCCTGCCCAGCTGCCAGCCAAGACAGAGAGTGGGGATTGGCGGTGGAGGGCGGGGAGAGGGGACCCAGGGCGACAGTGGCGTTGTGGGTTGGCGTGTGGCAGAGAGCGTGGAAGACATAGCCTGAGCCTGAGCCCAGGGCGGGCAGAGAGGGCCATGCCACACACAGAGAGGCAGAGGTGGAGAGCAAGATGGGGTGACATGACAGAGACAGAAGGCGAGGAGAGAACGCGAGACGTGGAGAGAGGCCCAGGAGAGCAGGGGCTGGGGCAGGCGGGCGGTGTCAGTGCTAAGTGGGAGAAGGGGGCAGGGAGAGGGAGATGGTGACAGAGCCTGTGAGCCAAGGAGGATCTCCCAGGGGGACAAAGACACGAGACCCCGCGAGGGGAAGGGAGGGTGGCATCGTCCCCGGGGCTGGGTCCCTGCCCACCGGGGAGGTATGGAGAGGGGTGGAGAGCATCAGGGAGCCACCCCTCACCATGGGAGGGCGGCACCAGACAAGGAGCTGTGGTGGTCACCATGGCAACAAGATGCTGCTGCCACCCACCCCACGCTGTGATGACAGGAAAACCCAGCCAGGGTCACGGGTGGCTTCGAGGGCAGGGCTGGAATGGGGCCCCCACCCCATCCCCCATGGCTCAGTGCCGTGCAGGTGTCAGGGAGCTGGACCCCTTGGAACCCCAGCATCCTCCAGCACAGGGCCCCCCCCACCGCTACCCCATCCCCCACAGCTCCCCTTTCTTTCCTCTCTCATTCCACACCTGCCTGGCAGAAGGTGGCTGAGTCCCCCAGGCCCAGGGGAAGAAGGACCCTGGTGACCAATGCCCACCACCCCTGCCCTCCTGGGTGCATCACCTCCCCCCCCCCCAGTGTGAGCAGCTGGCACAGGGGGCGAACAGCAGAAGACACTGCCCAGCGCTCCAAGTGGCCAAGAGCTCGCTGCCTCTCTGGGCCCCAGGCAAAGCAGGTGCTGCCACACCCTGCAGAGTCCCCGTGCACGTCAGAGCCCTGGGACCTGGAGGTACCTGGATGGAATTGAGGCCCACGGCGGCATAGGCCCAGGCCGGGCTCAGGTGCACCAGGGTGCCGACCACCCAGGTCAGGCCCAGGACGGGCAGCAGCACCAGCACTGGCTTCACGGTGGCCCTGTGGGGGGAGGGTGGTGCTCAGGGGCCCAGGGAGGAAATCCTGGGTGGGGGCAGCAGTGCAGGCAGGACCCAGGCTCCGCTGCCCCTCTCAAGGGCCGTGCCTGGGGGGTGGGGCAGAGGCACTGGGACGTGGGACCCCAGCCACCAACCCCTGCTTAAAGAAGCGGGGGCAGCAGCCCAGAGTGAGGGCTGAGGCCAGTGCCGGGGAACGAGGAGCTTGGGATCAAAGGGTCCTCCCCCTCCTCCTCCCCAAGGAGCCCCAGGGGTCCCTGGACTCTTAGGGACTCCCTGGCTTGGGCTGTCCTGCCCCTAGTGTAGGAAGAAAGCCACAGCCCCTTCTCAAGCCAGACATGGCCCTGCAGAGGCCGGAGGGGCTGCTGGCAGGGGTGGAGACCCGGAGCTGCACCCCAAACTTGAACTTTGGGAGACTCCCTGGTTTTGGGGTCTCCTCTCCCTTGTCCCCTCGGAGGCTGTCAGATGGTGAAACCCAGGACAGGGGCCAGTGAGCACACCTGCCTTGCACAGCCTCAGTGGTCATTTCTATACATGGACACGCGTGGGCATGTGTGACACAGAGGTGGGGGACTTGTGCACAGTGCATGCTCAGTGCAGCCTGCTGCCTCTCAACATGGGGGCATGTTGAACGGGCCCCCCGCTCCGTCAGCCTGGGCCTCACCATATCTGGATCTGGAGCCGCTGCTGCAGGCACGGCTGTGGGTTCAGTGTGTGGGCGCGACGGCGGGCACTGGACACGGTGACCAGCACCACGCGGACCAGGATGCAGGTATTGGCCTGGAGACCTGGAGTCAGTGGGTGAAAGGGGGCCCCGTCCCCGGCATGCCCCTCCCCTCTGGGTCCCCGGGCCACCCCGCTCACAGCCAGCACGAACAGCACAGGCCCCACGAAGGCCCAGATGGCGTCCGTGTGCACGCTGAGCCAGCAGTGGCCGGCAGCCACGTAGTCATGGGGGGACACAGCCAGGGTCACGGCCACGATGAGCACAGGCGCGCCTAGGGAAAGAAGTAGCCTCAGGCCATGCCGCCCAGTCCGTTCTCTCCAGGACTCAGCCCCCATGCCCAGGACAGCCGTACGGGGGAGCGCTGGGACGATCCGAGAGCAGGGTTGGGGGCCTGATGCCATCAGGGATTAGTGGAGCCTCGAGTAGTCTGGGAGTGGGGACAGCTGGGACCGGAAGCCGGTGCAGGGCAGGAGGGTGGGCCAAGGCATGGGGTCGACAGCAACACTGGACCTGGGGTGCTGAGGCAGCTGCGGGGGGAGGATTAGGAGGAACTGGTGTTGGGGGACCAGTGTTTGGTGCGGTCATTAACACGTCCCAGTTCAGCGGGGTGCCTGGGTCTGAGTCCTGGTTCTGCTCCGATTCCAGCCTCCAGCTAATGCAGGCCTGGGAGGCACCTGAGTGCCTGCCACACACGTGGGACACCTGGATCGAGCTCCTGGCTCCTGACTTGGGCCCCAACCCTGGCCTGGCCTTTATGGGCATTTGAGGAATAAACCAGTGAATGGGCGCGTGAATTAGAGGTGAATTAGATGGTCTGGCTTATTTGCTGTCCTTAGTGTTTTCATGACCTTCACGGCTCCGTGGGGTGGGCATTGGCCTAGCGGTTAAGTTGCCCGCATCCCAACGGCGGGCTCTGCTCCTGACTCCAGCCCCCTGCTAATGCACACCCGGGGAGGCAGCAGGCGATGGTAAACGGGGAGACCTGAGCGGCGTCCCCAGCTCCTGGTTTTGTCCCTTCGCCTGGCCTGGAGCTGCTGGGGACACTTGGGGTGCAGGCTCTCTCCCTCCCTTGAATGAGTGGGTGAGAACAGGGCTGGGGCAAGTCGGAGGCTGACCCAACTGAGAAAACGGAGCTCGTGGCAGAGGTGGGTGGCGCTGGGTGCTGGGTGGCGGCGGGCGCCGGATGGAGACTGGTGGGTGCCAGGTGGAAATGAGCCAGCACTGGAGGCCGTGGTGGCTTGGCTGAGAACAGCACGGGGGCGGGGGGCAGGGCCTCACCCCAGCCCAGGGCGTAGTAGAACCTCATCCGGGAGCCAGGGCGCATGCTCACAGCTACCACCTTGCTCCACAGCAGTAGTCCCTCCACCAGCATCCAGGAGAAAGCCACCAAGAAGAGGAAGTGCATGGCGGCTGTGACAGCCACACACGCCACCTGTGGGAGGGCGGGGGAGCCCCTGATAAGCTGCGCACCCCCCACCCGGGGTCCCCCCCGCCCCGCCCCGGGGCCTGGCAATCACAACCCAAAGAGGCGTCCGCGAGCGAGATCTCTGCACTGGCCCTGAGCATACGCACCCCCTGCCGGCTGCCCACCTGGCTGGCCTGTGCCCACTCGCTGGCCATGAGGAAGCCTTCGGCCGAGGCCAGGGAGAAGGTCAGGTTCTTGTGGACTGTGGTCCGCTCCGACGTGGGCACCCTGGCACGCAGAGCAGCGGTTGGCCAGAGGCCCACCCGGGCTCCACCCCACTTGGGTCCACAGTGGCTGGGCCAAGGGAGGCAGGCGGGCGGCTCCACCGGGGGCCTCGACGCGGGAGGCGGGGTGGGTGCTCCTCACCCGGCCGCCAGGAAGAGCAGGAAGCTGGTGGTGAGGGCGCAGAAGGACACGCCGCAGCCCACAAACGACACCGTCCGCAGCAGCGAGTCCTCCTCGGGGCCTCTCTGCGGGGCCGGACCGGAAGCAGTGGGCGCCCTGCCCCGGCGCAGCACAGCTCCCCCTGCCCACCTCACTCCCCCAGAACCACCCATGGAGGCCCCCCGGTCTCCTCCAGGCTTCCCTTCCCCTCCGGGGCCGCTCCTGGCCATGTCCCCTGACCCGGTACCTACCCGCTCCTCACTCGATCTCCAGCCGGGACCGACCCCTCACCCCACATCCCACCTGACCCCACTCCCTGTCTGTGCCCTCTCGGTGCCCAGTGCCTCCGCTCTGTTTGGTACTCTTGAGCCGCGGTTCGGGGCCCTGTGACAAGCCGGCCGCCCACGCCTCCCGCCCTTGCTCCTGGGCTGGCGGCCGTCGCCCCTCCCCCACCGCCCTCGCCGGCTCACCTGGGCATCCCACACCTGCAGCAGGACGGCAAAGCTGGTGCTGTGGTTGCAGAAGCAGGCGGTGGAGTCGGGGTACAGGGCAGTCACGGAGCAGCCCCGGGTGGCCCAGGAGCCCCCTGCGTCTTGGCTGGAGGGGGTGGGGAAGGAAAGGGCTTTCATGGGGGGTGGGGGACGAGGAACCTCGTCCCTCGAGCCTGGGCCGTCACTGGCTTGCCTCTAGCCAGCTACGCGACCTCGGCCTCAGTTTCCCGTCTTGTCAGCTGCGCTCAGCCTTCTCAGGACGGCAGGAGGCCAGGGCAGACAGCAGGGCCGCCTCTTAAGGACTGAGTACTATGACTGATGCCACCCAGGGCAGGGGACAGGGCTAATCCCGGGCCTCCTCTGCCCTTCAAAGTTCCCAGCGGCCTGCCAGGGTCACACGGAACTCGCAGTCGGCACCTGTCTCTTCCCAGGCACCTCACAGTGAGTGCCGCCTCCCTCACACACCTCCATCGACAGGGAGCTCACTACCTTCCGAGTAACGCGCTCTCCTGCTGCAGCCTGTCCTGGGGGTGAGACCCAGTGACCAGGGGCGCACGGCACGGTGAGTGCTGACCCCCCTCAAGCAGGGCAGGCGGCCCGGCAGTGGAGACTCACCCAGGGCTGAAGTTCCAGAAAGCACAGACCGGCTCCACCAGCCTCTGAGGGGAGGCCTAGGGCGGGAGACAGGACAGGTGTGTGAGCTGGGCGGGGGGTGTGAGGCCCCGGGGGAAGCGGGAGGCAGAAGGAGGCCAGCTGAGCGCCTGCTGTCCCATGCACGCCAGGGAGGCACCGGGACCCACTGATGGCCACCGCGGCGGGGGTTAAAGAGGGCTCTGCACCTGGGCAGACCCCCAGCGGGCCCCTCTCCACTGCTGGGGAAAGACCTCAGTGATCTGCCGCCCAGCGGGTGAGAAGCTGACCAACAGGATGCGTGGTGGGGCCACTTTGTAAAGAATGAAAGTCATTTGCTTGTGCACACACACACACACGCACACACATGCACACACATGTACAACATATACAACACACATGTACACATGCACATCCAAACCCAAACATGGACACATGCACACATACACACATGTACATAAATGGTCACGTGCACACAGACATACACAGTGCACATATACACCCATGCATGTACTCAGACACAAATACACACATACGTGCACACACATATGAGGTCTGGGGGCAAATCATAATGCAGTCCACACTGGCTGCTTCTGGGTTTGGACCGTTGTAGTGCACGTGTGAGTTTTTGTAAACAAACGATGCCAACAATATAATTTCATACAACGTCATTAAGGCTGGAGACAGAACAGGGGAGGTGGCCTGAGCCTGGCATTTGGTCCCAACCGGGGAGGGCAACAGCAGGCACTTCCATGCCCTTCACGGTGGCGGATCTTCTTAGCCACTGAGGAGACAGGTACGAAGTCGCATGATTTCAGACGAGGAAGGTAGGCTCAGAGACGGGAGGTCACCTGCCCTACATCACACAGCATGGCGCTGAGACCGGGTCCTGGCTGAGCCAGCTGTCTGGCCCTTCCGCAGGTGTGGGCTTGGGTGGAGTGAAGTGTATTCACTCGCTCATTCATGTTTTTCCTGGGCCTCAAGTGCATACTGCATGGGGTGCTGGGAACACAAAACCAGCCCTTCAGATGCCCAAGCAAGGAGCTGGAACTCCATCCATGCCTCCTACGTGGGTGGCAGGAACCCAGCTCCCTGAATCGTCCCTGCTGTCTCCTAAGGTGCGCGTGAGCAGGAGGCTGGGATCAGGAGCTGGCACTGGGGACTGAACCCAGGTGCCCTGGTGTCTCAACCACTAGGCCAGACACCCGCCTCGGCTCTATACTTTACAAATGAGTGACGATGACACCACTGGTGACATTTACTGTTGGTACAGACTAAAACACAAATGTAGCCAGACACCCAAAGGTCACAAAGCTGTCTCTGCCTGGAGCCCCAACAAGGGACCAGTCTCCAGGGGGAGAGAGGAGGGGCTGGGCACGGTTGGGGTGAATGGAGGCGCCCTGCAGTCTCTGGCTGAGTGGCTGGGAGAGGGCCTCGCAGCAGCTGGACCACACCCTGGAGTGTGGCGGCTCAGGCCTGGGCCCCAGCAGCTGGGATGGGGTGGCAGCAAGGGGACGGCGGTGACCCCGCATGCAGACCCCCGCAGGGGCACGGAGAGCACTGGGCTTGCACGGCTCAGCCCGCGGAGCAAGGCCTGGGGGTTGCTGAAGGAAAGACTTTCGCAGGCATCAGAGGCCAAGAACAGGCCAGGAGGGCGTGGCCAGACCTTCGCAGAGGCTTTTTCTAGGGGCGGGGCTTTCCGTCTTCTTCCTCCCCTTCTGTATGTCCCAAACATGTCGCACGCAATAAGCAGTACGTTCCTTTCATTTACTTTTTATATTAACGTATTTAAACCATAGTGTATAAATGCAGCATGAATAGTTCTTTAAAAAATAGAAACAAAATTGGTAAACTTCCAGCAAGACTTGTCAAGAGTAAAAAAAGAAATCACTTTAAATCTTAGAAATCTTAGGAGGAGAATGATGGAATAGAATAAACAGCTTTGGGGCTAGCGCTGTGGCATAGTGTGTTAAGCTGCTGTCTGCAGTGCTGGCATCCATATGGGCGCTGGTTCAAGTCCTGGCTGCTCCACTTCTGATCCAGTTCTCTGCTAATGCACCTGGGAAAGCAGCGGAAGATGGCCCAAGTGCTTGGGCCCCTGCACCCATGTGGGAGACCCAGAGGAAGCTCTTGGCTTTGGCCTGGCCCAGTGCTGGTCATTGCAGCCTTTGGGGTAGTGAACCAGCAGATGGAAGATCTCTCTCTCTCTCTCTCTCTCTCTCTCTCTGTGTCTTTCAAATAAATAAATAAATATTTTTAAAAAGTTAATAAACAGCTTTAAGCCAGGAATTTGATAAACTACATGAAATGGACAAGTTCTTTCAAAGGCATAAGTTATCAAAATGTGTCAAGAAGAAAACCAAACACACCCAAATCACTGATATCAACTCAAGAAACAGAACTCAGAATTTAAAATCTTTCCACAAAGGAAGCGCAGGCCCAGATGACCACTGGCAAAGGCTCGCAAAGGCTCACGGGGACAAGGGAGCACTTCCCGGCTCATGTCACGGGGCCCGCGTTAACCTAATGCCCAAAGCAGAGGGCGACATTAGGAGAAGACTTCACATTATTCAGGGACACAAACACAAAAGTTATTCACAAAATATCTGAAACCGAATCCCACAATGCATAGAAAATGCAATACACCAAACCCAAGCAGGGCTGACACCAGGAATCCAAAGCAGGTTTAATGTTTGAAATCAACCGGCGGAATTCACCTATCTTCTCAGATTAACAGATTGTGCCACTGTGGAAGAAACGTTTGGCAAGACTCAATAACCGTCCATGACAAACTAGGAAGAGAAGGGAACTTAATGGGAGAAAGGGCTCCCACAAAGATCCACAGCCAACACCACGCCGAACCAGAGACCTAGCCAACGCGACAAGGCCAGAGAGGACACACGACACGGGTGGGAGAGGAGACAGCGCGACAGCCTCCACGTGCAGACAAGCGGATCGCGTGTGTGGGAGACCCCAGGATGTTAGGGGGCTGCTGGGAGTGCCGGGCCGGGAGCGGAACAGGACGCGGCATCAATGCTCGGACGTCAACTGCGTTACGTAAATTGGAAATGAGCAGGTTAACACTGCACCGGGAAAATACGAGCATTTACAACAACATCCAAAACTACGGGATCCTTAGGGATGCACTTAACACAAGCCTCCTCAGGACCTATGCCCCGACCTATACACGATCACCGAGAGAAATTCTAGGGAACCTAGGACAGAGGGACATGTGTGTCCTCTCTCTCTCTGCCTCTCCTTCTCCCTCTGTGTAACTCCGACTTTCAAATAAATAAATAAATCTTAAAAAAAAAAGTCTTCCATCTGCTGGTTCACTCCCCAAATAGCCGCAACAGCTGGAGCTGGGCTGATCTGAAGCCAGGAGCCAGGAGCTTCTTCCAGGTTTCCAACATGGGCGCAGAGGCCCAAGTGCTTGGGCCATCCTCTACTGCTGTCCCAGGCCACAGCAGAAAGCTGGATTGGAGGGCCAGCACTGTGGCTCAGCAGGTTAATCCCCTGGCCTGAAGCACCAGCATCCCCTATGGGCGCTAGTTCTAGTCCTGGCTGTTCCTCTTCTGATCCAGCTCTCTGCTATGGCCTTGGAAAGTAGAAGATGGCGCAAGTCCTTGGGCCCCTGCGCCCGCATAGGAAGAAGCTCCTGGCTCCTGGCTTTAGGTTGGCTCAGCTCCAGCCATTGTGGCCATCTGGGGAGTGAACCAGCAGTTGGAAGACCTCTCTCTCTCTCTCTCTCTCTTTCTACCTTTGCCTCTTTGTAACTCTGCCTTTCGAACAAATAAATATCTTAAAAAGAAAGAGAGAAATCCTATGTCCTCAAGAAGAGCTGTGCACGCGTGTTTCCAGCAGACGTATTCATAACTGCCGGAACTGAAAACAGTGGGGTCTCCGTCAACAGGTCCCTGCGACACAACCGATCGTGGCACCGAGGAGTGGAACGCGCCGGGCGGTGCAGAGGAGTCCCCTGGTGGGTAAGGCTCCCGAACACCACCAGAGGGCCAGCAGCAGATCTCAACACGTCCGTGCGGTTCCGTTTCTGTGCAACTCCAGGAAAGACAGACATTCTGTAGCCACGGAAAGCAGAGCGGTGACGTCCTGGGAGACCGCTCTGGGAGAGGCACCAAGAAGCCTCTGCAGCGCGCGGAACTGTTCACACCTTGCCCAGGGCTACGCACAGGTCAACCCACATGGGGGGGCACTGAGAAGGGCAGTAACTGAGGATGCCGATGTCCACAGTTGGCCCTCCGTATCTGCAGGTGTCCCATCTGTGCAGTCAACCGACCACAGATGGAAAACATTCCGGGAATACAAGATGCATGTGTATTGCAACGTGTAGACTTTGTTGTTGTCACGACTCCTTTTAAACAATGCAGTTTGGCCCAGTATTCACATAGCACTGATACTGCATTAGGTGGCATTATTACTGGAACCCGGGAATGACTGTGGGGGTGTAACCATGGGCAAATGCCGCACCATCCGATGGAAAAGACTTGGGCGGCTGCAGATTGTGGCTATCCGTGATGGGGTCCTGGGGCCTCTCCCCCTCGGACGCCCACGGTTGGCTGCATACCTCGCTGAAGTTTCTGGAAAGTCTCAGGGGACAGACAAGCAAGTGCAGCCGCGTGTGTGCTCCGAATTACTGGTTATGAGCAAAGGAGACTTTTGCTTCCTCTGAAATGCTCCAATGTGCAAAGGCGGAAGGGGTTTGTGTATTCCGTGGAATGAAATCAAACCACACGACATGAGGATTTTCCCCTTCAGCTGATAGAGAAGGAAACACCTATCCCACTCTGAACTTCTGCCCACTCTTCCACATCCAGCTCTCGGGGGGGTTGTGGGACAGTCCCTGCCTGATGGGCACGAGGCTGTCTTTATCCCTCTGAAGTACGTGGTGAGTGTGAACGCTTCCTGTGCACGCCCTTCCGGGTCTGCCCAGTGGGCTCGTGTGCATCGAGTCACAGAGACCCAGAAAGAAAGCCCGGCTCCCACCACCTCCCTCAAGCTCCAGGGAAGAAGGCAGCTCCAGGAGGGAGTGAATGCTGCTTGCGTAGTGCCCCGGGCGTGGGTAAGTGTGCACCAACCCACTTCCCGCCCATCCCCTGGGAAGATGGGGACCATTTCTGAATATTTTTCTCCAACATTTTTTTAGAACTTGGTTGTCCAACAAGAAAACACAAGTGGTGAGGTTGGGGGATGTTAGGAAGCAAACCAAACCAGGATAAGTGTACCAGGGTGGCTTTTCCCAAACGGGGACCCCGTACCTGGGCCTGGTGCTGCAGGTGAAAGGTCACGGCCGTGCTGACCTCGCCGGCAGCGTCCCGCACCTCAGAGGAGATGACCGCTGAGCCGACCTGGGTGCTCTGGGACCTGTGGGGAGAAGGGGAGCCGACGGGGCGAGGTCGTCCATGGCTGGCTCATCTCATGCAGACCCCCGGGAGACCCCAGCGACAGCCCCGTCTGGGACTCAGGGCGCCTGGGCGCCAGTCTTGCCTCGGGACTTGCTGATAGCTTGGGTAAGCTGTGCTCCCTGCCTGAGTCTCAACACGGAGCCAGGACCCCAGGCAAGGGAGCGCCACGTTCCCAGCCACACTGCCCAGGTGGCAGTTCCAGAAGGTGGTGGTGGGGTGCCGAGAGGGGGTGAGAGCAGGGCTGCGAGGGACAGATTGGTCACTAGCAGGGGGACCCTGGGAGAGGGCGGAGGCCCAGCCTTTCCCTGGGAAGGGGTGCAGGCCCTCAGCAACCTGCGGGGGCACCCACTCACCTCTGCACCGCGCTCGCCTGGCCCGTGCTGGTGGGGGCCTGGCGCTCGAGGCCAGACTCCCCGAGGGTGTACAGCAAGATGCTCGAGGTGAACCAGCTGTGGATCATGGTGACCCCAGCGAGGCCTGGATGAAAGGAGGGGACCCCAGACCCACCTGATGACGAGCTGGCTCCTGTGGTAAGGCTCTCCCCGTGTTACAGATAGGGAAACTGAGGCTCGGAGAGGTCTAGTGACTCTCCTAGGATGGCACAGCCAGTAAGCTGCACCACCATCATCCCATGCGCTTAAACTCACGGCTCCAAATCTCCTTGCCTAATCCAGCCACCCTTGCGCACATTCAAGGCTGGGGCCTACCTCTCCCCGCCCCCGACTTCTGTTGTGGACACTAGAGGGTGTCAGGGCTGAGGTGTGACTGGATCCCGATAGGCCCCAGCCACGCCCTCCCCCTCACCCACCTTTCCCACAGAGCCGCCTCACTTCACCCGCTGGGATGAGGATGTGTCCGGGCCCCTCTGGATGGCCACCGGGCATGGTGAACACATAGTCCCTGGGACCGGCCTCCTCCAAGCGCAGGCTCCGCACCTCCAGGCCTGGGATGAAATGGGGCTGGGGGCTGCACCTCCAGAGGGAGGTCTTGGAGCTGAGCGGCCCAGGTGGCAGGGTCTGGGCCCTTCCCCACCCCATCACAGGTCCAGCCACCTGCCCAGGGCCAGGGGTGGGGGCATGGCCACCAGGTCTTGGACACCTATGTGTCACCAGAAGGCAGGTGGCACCTGGAGGACACATGCGTGGGCCTGAATTCCCACCAGGGCCGCTCCTTGCTCTGTCTACACTCACTGAGTCTGACCTTGGGCCTGGCCTGAGAGGCAGAGATGAATCAGAGCAGCCCTGGCACGCCTGGAGCATCAGGTGGAGGAAGACCACTCCTTATGTAATGATCACAAATACAATGGAAATAAAACCTACTTCAAGGCGCTGCAGGGACCGGGGAGGGAGGAACTGACTGTCAGGACAGAGTTAAAGCTGGGAAGGCATCCCCAAGGAGGCGATGCTCTGTAGGGTTCTGCAGGACCTACAGGAGTTTGCTAGGAGATGGTGGGAGGAAGAGCACTTTTTTTTTTTTTTTTTTTTTTTTTTTTTTTTTTTTTTACAGCAGTGAGAGAGACAGAGAGAAAGGTCTTCCTTTGCCGTTGGTTCACCCTCCAATGGCCGCCGCGGCTGGTGCACTGCGGCTGGCACACCACGCTGATCCGAAGCCAGGAGCCAGGTGCTTCCTCCTGGTCTCCCATGCAGGTGCAGGGCCCAAGCACTTGGGCCATCCTCCACTGCACTCCCGGGCCACAGCAGAGAGCTGGCCTGGAACAGGGGCAACCGGGACAGAATCTGGCGCCCCGACAGGGACTAGAACCTGGTGTGCCAGCGCCGCTAGGTGGAGGATTAGCCTAGTGAGCCACGGCGCCAGCTGGAAGAGCATTCTTGATGGAAGGCACAGCATGGCAAAGGCAGAAATGGGACAGAGCATCTGCGGAAGTGCAGAGGTGTCTGGGGCCTGCTGGGCGGGCGGGCAGGGGCAGGCTCACCGGCATGGCGGTGCTGGATGTGCACCCCGGGCTGCTCGGGGGTCAGCACAGTGCTCAGCAGCGGTGCCAGGTGCTGCACGCTCGCCACCAGGACCATAGGACCGCCGACCACCTGGCAGGAAGCCACGTCTCAGCTCTCTCCCCTCCCACACGCCGCTGCCCTGACCAGGGCTAACAGACTCTCCCCGCTGCAGATCCCGGGTCTCCAAGCTGGCAGGGGCAGCCCTGCCTGCTGCAGCCTCCTGTGCCTTTGTCACCCAGGAAGCCTTTGGCGCTCTGTGCCGGCCGGCTCCTTGGCCAGCCGGAGCCGCCGCAGAGGGCTGGCCCAGGCCGCCCCACTTCTTCACTCTGGCTCAGGGCTGGACCTGTAACAGGTGCTCAGATTTTTAGATACCAGAAGAAAAGCTATATGGGGGATGACAGTGGGGAAGGGGGGAGAACATGCACTAATAGGACACCTTCTGTATGCCGTGCAAGCCACCCTATTCACTCATCAGCTCCCTGCTATTGCCTTAGCAAGACAGGTGTGATAATTCCACACTCCCCAGGGGAGAAATCAGGGTTCAGAGTCCGGTGTGAAACAGGTTACTATGGCGCCTCTGGTCCCTAATCAAATGCGGGCTTGCACACTTCTCAGGGTGGGGAGCTCACCACCTGTCCAGATGAAGCAGCGTCCCGGGTGGCGGCGGCCCATCTCTACACCTTGGTCTCCGTTCTGACCCTGAGGCCACAGGGGGCCTCTGCCTGCTCCTTCACCCAAGAGGCAAAGTCCGTGGCCTCTGGTTCCCTCCCTGCTCTGGACTGACCTTCCCAGGCCTGCCGGCACCTCCGCCAGGGTGAGGCCCCTACATACGCTGCCTTTCCTGCTCTCCGGAGCGCCTGGGCCGCATGCTGGGCCTGAGCAGATTCTGAGACACACAGAGGCCCTTACGGGTTAGTGGCTCTTAACCATTGTTGGCTGTGGTTCAAGTGCAGTTCTGAGTGGAAGTTCCACGCGTGAAGCAGACAAAAGAGGAGCTTCCCTGGATGGCTGGAGAGCTGGGCCCCGAGACGCACACCCACTTGCCCACAGCTCCACAAGCCGGAACCCCGGGCCCCGGCCCAGCCAGCCCTGCGGGCCTCACCTTGTGGACGGCCAGCCAGGCACCAGCCGAGCGCTCCTCCAGGATCAGGCTGGCCACAGACATGACACCCCGGCCCAGCCGCTCCCAGGGCTCCAGCAAGGGCTCCGGCTCACCGGCTCCCAGGGCCACCGCCCTCCTCAGGAAGCGCAAGACCGCCAGCAGCGCAGCTGGCCCCAGCGGAGCCGCCTCCTCTGCCAGGACTCTCTCCAGGATGCCCAGGAAGCTGAAGGCCTCGGCCAGGGACAGGGCCCCGTGGGCTCCGGAGAGGGGGTCCGGGAGGAGCTGCGGGCAGAGGAGCCGCTGACTGCTGGTCTGGCTGCCAGGAGGAGATTCCCCCAGGGTCTCCTTGGGGACAGCAGGCAAACTAGCCACAAGCCCCCAGCTCTCCAAGTAGGAGGCAGGACCAACCCTCATCGCTGCAGACACAGCAGGTGAGTGGCCCCCTTGTGGGGGCAGAAACTGGGGAGAGGGCTCACCACAGTGGCATTGGCCAAGGCATTGACTCGGCGGATAAAGTCCTGGCCGGGCCATGACCGGGCGGCCTGCAGCTGCCGGTAGGTCTCTGCAAAGGACAGCACAGCTGGCTGGCCCCGGGCATGCCCTTGCACAGCGGGCCCAGCCAGCCAGCGACCCCCCTCCACCACGGGCAGCCCAGGGGCAGATCGGCACTTGAAAGCGCCTGTCGCCTCCCATCTGTGTTCTAGATGGGGTAACTGAGGCACAGAACGGCAAAATCGTTTGCCCCAGGACCCACAGCTGGGATCCCCGCCCCCCCGGGGGGGTGTGTGTGTGTGGTCTCACTGCCCTATGACCCAGACTCCATGGAGACGCCGAAGCTTCCAGAAGATTCTGAATCCCCAGATCTGCCGACCACTCACTCCCCGCTCGGTGTGCGTGGCTTACAGGGGCCGCCACTCCAGCAGAGCCAGGAGCACAACCAGGGCGCACCTGTCCCATAGCAGCAGAGGAAGGGCCGCGGCTGCAGGCAGAACTCGGAGCCCTCCGCGCGGGTTCCTGGGTTCCACGTGGGGCACTCCTCTGAGGGCACTGGCGGGGTAGGGGAGGTGTCAGGGTCACACCCTGGCTTCCTCGTGGTCCCATGAATCAGCCACACTCGATGGGGACCCAGGACACAGGCCCTGGCTTTAAGGCGCGAGGTGAGACCTAGGTGAGCAGCCCCACGGCCAATACTTTGGGGCAAGACTGGACAATGGACCCGCCCAGCACGCAGGCTGTGAAGTCCAGAGACAGTGTTAGGGAACCATGGGTGGGCTCGGGTGGGCCGTACCGGGACAGAGCAGGCGCAGCCGCACGGCAGGCAGCAGAGCCGGCGTGACGTCCAGGGCAGCCGGGTCCCAGCGGAAAAGCAGGCCACCTGGAGGCGGTGCACAGGCCTGTGCCCTGCGCAGCTGCGAGGGGCTCAGCGCCCGGGCCCACAGGTGGAAGTCGGTGAGGTTGCCGCTGAAGGCGTCCCGTGCCGAGAAGCCGCCGCCCAGGGAGTCCTGATCCTGGCCCAGCACCAGGACGCCGCCGGGCGGCACTGGGCGGCCCGCGGCCAACCCCCGCGCCCCAGCGCGCAGCCGCCCGTCGGCGAACAGCACCCAACTCCCGCCGCGCTGTTCCCACGTGGCGCACACGTGGTGCCAGCGGCCGTCGGCGCGGAAGGCGGCACGGAAGGGCGCGTGGTGGCCGCGCACGACGAGCGCCGCGCGCACGACACCGCCGGGCTCGGCGAAGGCGCGCAGCTGCAGCGCGTTGGGCAGCGCGGGCGCGGCGAGCGAGAAGAGCGCGGCGGCGGCGGACGAGGTCGCGTCCCACTGCACGTGCGCGCACGCCGTCAGCGCCGCCAGCGCCGGCAGGGCCGTCCGCAGCCGCGCCGCGCGCTCTGCCGAGCGCTCGCCGAACACCAGCGCCGCCGCGCTGCGCACACCTGCGGGGACAAGCGGGCCCGGCCTCAGCTCCTCAGCCGTGCGCCCCGACCTCTCTCCGTTTGGGCGCAGCTGCGAGGCCCCTCCTCTCGAGGAGGAAGAAATGGGAGTTCTGTTCCCCCTCCCCAGAGGCTCCACCCCTGCTTTCCGTCCACGTCCACGGCCCGGGAACTCAGCTGGAGATGTGGTAGGGTGCGATCTGGGCTCCCACCTGGGACGGCCGCAGCACCCCGCCCCCACACTCACGCCTCTGCGGGGGCCTCCGGCGATCAGCCTCTCTTTGCGCCGCCCAGACCGTGTCGCGCAGCCGTGCAGCAAGAATCCTCTCTGGGGGCACCAGTGGCAGGTGGCCAAACCGCTGCTCACAGAACTCCTGGGCCTGCCACCAGCTCAGCCGCTGCCCCGGGAACCTGCACACCCCCTCTGCGGTCTCCACCACCTCTCCGGGGGCCACGGGGGCTGGAGAGTATTAGGAGAGGGGCTGTGGCACAGCGTGTGTGGCATGTGCCCCCTTGGAAGTGGTCAGGGCTGAGGTCTTGGGGCTGGGAGTCATCTGGGCTGGGCTCCCTGCCACGCTCCATGGCTTGGTGAATCGTTTCCCTAGCAGAGCGTGGCCATTGTCTACACAGCAGGCACGCCCCCGACAGAATGAAACTTTTGGCCCAGAGCCTGGTATATAGGGAGAGGGGCTTGAACAGAGTGTCACTTCCTCCTGTCCTGTGCCACCTGGGCCACAGGCTGGCTAAGCTGGGGAAGAGGGCAGCCTCCTGGGTGGTCCCTTACACCAACCTGCGGCCCGAGGGTTCCTTGATCCAGCCGGGGAGCTGGAGGGGGTCCCAGAGAGACTCCTGATCTGAGAGAGAAGACAGTGGGGGGCTGGTTTAGGTGCCCCCGGCCACCGTGTGTGCAGTTAGTGCATGCCTACTGTGTGCAGCAGGGGGTGCTGCAGGCTCTGCAGTCAGTGTGATCTTGGACAGGTCCCTTCACGGGCCTGAGGGGGAGCAAGAAGCAAACTGGAGAGCGAATGTAGCAGGGGCGGCACCTGAAGAGGCTTGTGTTCTTTAGCTACACCAGGGTTATCTGGTGTAAGCTTTGCACTGACCTCACAATGTGGGGTGGCCACTTGGAACCCTAGCAATTTGAGCTCTCCCAGCAGCCCCCCTCCCAGAGGCTCCGGTACCAGGAAGAAGAGCAGGCAGAAGCAGCAGTGGGCCATCTGGACACGGCAGGGGCAGGAGAGGGACAGCAGGCCTGGCCACTGTGCACTGAGGAAGGAGGGGAGAACATGACAGCAGCTTAGCGTTCTGCGTTGCTGCCGGCATGGACGCCTGCAGGGTCACTGTACCCTCTGCTTGGTTCCCCACTTCCCTGGGCTGGGAGCCGACCAGCAGGCTGGGAGCCCAGGATGCGGTGGCCCACCCACCAAGGATGACCTTTACTGGCACAAAGGGATGGTCTCCAGGAGCCCCTTGAGGACTGTGGCTGAAAACCACTGTTGCCCTGGTTCGTGTGGGAGGAAGGTAGGGCAGCAGCCAGCTCCTGGCCAGAGAGGGCCGGAGCAGAGCTCAGTGGGGAGGCATAGCTCAGGGCTGGAGGGGCTTCCCTGTGTTCTTTTGGGGTTCCCAGCTTGACACTCAAGGCACTGGGTCATCTGTCCCACCTTCCCCCCACTCCCCAAGCTGTGTCCCTTGCCAGGCATCCCAGAGCTGTGCCCGCGCTCTCCCTCCCGCCCTCTCTGGCCCCTCCTCTGAGATCAGCTTGCCATCACTTCATCTACCTGACCCTGACGGTGGGTCCACCACAGCCGGGTGCTGTCCTAAGCTGCGGACACTCTCAGCGAGTTGATTTAGGGGTCACTCCTGCAGTGATCCCTGGGGGTGTCTCTGGCCCTGGCTGGCCACTAGTGGGTCTCAGAAAACCCCAACTCCAGCCAGCCAGTCTCTTGCCAGCTGGGAGTCTGGAGCCATCACACGGATCATTCGCATCTTCCCCTCTTCCAGATAAAGCAGGAAACTCAAACTCACAACACCCAGCAGGATCGCAGGAGCACACGTTTTGGGCTCTGAGAAGCACCTTTTGATTGTCAGCTCCCACCCCGCCCCGGGAGCACCCAACCTTCAGCCTCACAGGGGTGGGGAATCTTAGGGGCCTGGTACAGGGATGAAGGGTGCCTCACATGTGCGCAGATGGTATGGGCTCAATAAAAGCTCATTCCCTCACCCCTTGTTCACACCTGTCTCCATTTGCATCCTCGGATCCCTGGCACCTGCCTTCCTAGCTCCCCAAACACGCATGGATACCCCCCTAGAAAGATGCTAGGTTGGGCCACCACTGTGGGCACCCCCTGCTCCTAGGCCAACAGGGCCAGTTCAGAAACGGTCCCCTTCGCACTCTCATTCCTCCCCTCTTCCCAGCCCCCGTGCTCACCCGCTTTGCCTGGTGCCTGGAGCCGGTTCTGGGTCTGTGAGGCGTCTGCAGGCTCCCAAGTAGCCAAGACCCGACCGGACCCAGGCAGGCGGGGCGTTGGGGGCGGTGCTTGGAGACCCCGCCCCCAACCCCTCGCCTGCTAGGCTCAGAGCTCCAGGCTCCTGGCTTGGCTGGGAAGGGCCCGTGGTCACGGCCTCCCCCATCTACGACGCGGGTACAGGGGGCTACGTTGCAAGACTTGGATACCAAGTAAATTTGGGGAGATGAAGCAGCCTTGGGCATGGCAGTCCCACGCAGGCCAGGGCACGCCCTGCATGGGCTCTTCGCGGGTCTCCCCCTCTCCACCGCGGGGTCGGGGGGAGCTTTTGGGGACTTCCAGGTGAGGACCGAGGCCCAGGGAGACAGCTGGCCAGCAGTGGGGTCTGACCTTGAACCCTAGTTTCTGGGTCTTCATCCAAGCCTCCAAACCATAAGGGAGTGGGGGCTTGCTGAGGGTGGGGGGAGTTGAGTGAGGCGAGGCCCGCAAGGGGGTGGCGCCCAGGGACAGAGGGTAAGCCTTGCTAGCCTAGCCACACGGATTCCTGCTTGGGAGGGGACAGGGCAAAGCTTTGGGGTTGGTAGGTCTACATCGATGCTGACTCTGACCTGAGGCCCTGTACTCAATTTCTCTGAACCTCAGTTTCCCCATTTGTAGCATGCAGATGATAAATACAAGACTCGGGATTGCTGTGAGAGCTAAATGCCTTTGACTTTAACGGGTACAAAGCATAGCTGTGGTGCTTGGCACACGGTCCGTGTAGCGTTCTTGCCAAACTTGATGGACACGTTAACAATAACCTTCTGGCCATTACACTTGCCCTTGGAAGAGGAAAAGCAGGAGGAGAGAGGTGAGGGTCCCAGAATGCCACCCTGCAGTGTCGCTCTGGGCTTGAGCGTTTTCAGGAGAGGAATTAGGGGCTAAGAGATCCTCACCTGAAGCAGAGCCCTGGGCATTGCTCCGCCTCCTGGGCAGATGGGAAGTGTGCGCCTGCCCGCCTCTGCACAGTCCCAGGTGCCAGAGCCAGCGGGAAGGGCAAGGAGAGGCCCGAGGGCAGGTGGGCCCTATCCACGCTTGAACGAATTACTTGCTTACTGAGAGACAGATACACAGGTAGACAAAGTGCTCCCATTCACTGCTGCACTCTCCGAAGGTTCACAACAGCCGGGGCTGCACCAGGGCTGAGGCCACAGCTGGGAACCCAATCCAGGTCTCCCACTTGGGTGACGGGGACCCAGTCACGGGAGTCATCACCTGCCACCTCCCAGGCTCTGTGTTAGCAAGGAGCTGGAGTCAGGAGCTCGAGCTGGGAACCGAGTCCAGGCACATGGATTGGGGCTGCAGGCATCTTAATCTGAGTCTTACCCGCTGGGCTGCATACCTGCCCTGCTCTTTCCAGACAGAATGCACGGTGACACGGCCAGGAAGGGGTGCCTCCATCCCTGTCCCCTCTGTCACCTCCTGGCCCTCCTTGCCCTGCCCTTCCTGTCCCTCCCTGTAGCCTGAGGGATGACCTTCTCGTTCCTGCAATGCCCCCTCCCGGGCCCCTAGCCCACCTCCTCTCCCCAACACAGGATCCCATTGTCCAGGAGTCGCTCAAGTCGATGGCCAAGTACCTTGGGGGTGGGGGTGGGGGTGGGTGTCCCCAGGCTTTGGCCCCTGGCCTGGCCTAATCTCTCGGCTGCAGGGCTGGGGCACTGTCCAGTGGGCAGCGGGGCCATTCATCACGGCAGCACTGACAGTCCCCTTGTCTTGGTGGACAGGCCCAGGGGCTGCGGGGGAGCGATAGCCGTGTGCTCCTCGGGCCCATTGTCTGGGTGGCGGGGTGAGCAGCAGTGAGGGCGCCAGGCCCCAGGGGGACCTCGAGGGGGGCCCAAGGATGCTGGATCCCCACCCCTGGGCCCTGGGCCTGCCTTGGCCTCTCAGTCCAGCCCCTCCTGGTCCAGGGCGAGGGATTTGGGAAGGGGGAGGTGGGAGCTGGGAGACTTGGTCATCCACCAACTCTCTTTTGGGCGACTGTGCTCTCTTCCAGTTCTTCCACAGGACTGGCAGTCACCTCTTCCTTTGGGGACACACAGAGGGGCTGTGGGCAGACATGGTGAGTGTCCGGGTCACTGCCGTTTTTTCCTGCTCTGCGGGCAAATTGGGGTCCTTTCCTCTCACTGACACCCCTCCCACCCTGGACCCCGAGGAAGTAGGATGGGCCTGGCATCAGCCTGCTCCAGCCACCTCCTACATAGCAGTCAGAGGTCTGTCTAGCATGTCTATCTCACCCTGTCCCTCCCCTTCTCAAAACTCTTCCGTGGCTCCCTAGTGCCTCCGAGGGCAATCCCCAAATGCCTGCAGCAGCTGGGATGGGGCTGGAGCGAGGCTGGGAACTGAGAACTCATCTGGGTCTCCCAGGAGGGTGGCAGGGACCCAACTACTTGAGCCATCGCTGCTGACTCCCAGGGTGCGCATCAGCAGGAAGCTGGAGTCAGGAGCCAGAGCTGGGATGGCCCCGGCTTTTTTAACTGGCGTCTTCAGCTCTGAGCTAAGCGTCCGCTCCTTTCTCAGTCACTTCTGATTCATTTCTACTCGTCCTTCAGGTCTCAGCCTGCGCCTAGGCTGCCTTCTCTGTCTCCTT